GATCACTGCGGCCAGCTCCCGCAAGGCACGAGGGAAGTCAAAACGACACTCCCTCTCTGGATTGGCAACGTTGGCCGCCTCGATGTCTGCAGCAGCGCCCTCCATATCCCTCGCGATGTCACCGGTTCTCTTCCTCACACGCAAGCAGTACGTGGTGTTGCACTTGTGGCGCTGGCAACGGTTGACAATTTGCGAGAGCCGTAGGAATGTCATCTCTATGCTTAGGGGATCTACGCTCAGCGGATTACCCTCACCCTGAGGCATAGTCCTACTCGGCTCGGGGTTAATGGCAGTGATGTGGAATCCCCACGTGCGTGCAAAAACATCACGAGCGGCTTCGTCCTCCATGTCGGCTCCGGGGCAATTTTCCATCTAGTACAGGCCGTGGTTGTGTGGACTCCCACGCCCTTGCCATTTATAACGATCCCAGTAATCCATAATGCTGAATTTCTTGCTTAGCACGATATTCTGAAAGAGGCAGTATCGGCGGTAGAAGTGGAAAGCAGCAATATGAGGGTTCTGCTGCAATAGGCGGCGCGATAGAGCCATCCTCTCCGGCTTGGTAGCGGCTAGCCAGTCGTCATACTGGGGCATGTGCTGGTAGAGACTCCGCCAGTGTAAATCTGCCGGGCTAAACGTAATGAATGCACCAGGACAACCAAGGTTATAGGCGTAGGCCTCGAGGTCGTGCCTCTTTTTGTTCCAGAATGGACGCGTACCGCGAATAGACACCGCATGCCTTGTGATCGAGTTGATCAGCGCCTGCGCCTCGGGGTCCTCGCTGTGTTCGAGCGCCTGAATAAGTTGCTCTCGCGTCAGCGGCTGCTGTCTTCCATCATGTTGCTTCATGAAGAATCTGGACTGTGAACGTGCTTGTGACCGCATTAGCGTGTTGAAGGCGACGAAGCGGAAGGTCGGGTGGCGTGCAAAACGCCCGTCGTGCCAGCGCATCGCGTGCTCGACGTAATCCTTGTAATCAATGGAGCGCAATCGGGGTTCAACAAAGTCGGCTCTACCGTCAGGAAAGAGGCAGGGAAATGCCAAGGAGAGTAGGGCATGAGAGCGATTGAACTCATTAATGGGTGTGTGTCGTATATTCGGGAGCTGCAGCTCGTGTTGTGCCTGCGCGTGGAAGCTTGTGGAAAGCCCTGAATCAGCGCCTGATTCTCCGGAGAGAATAGACCGCAGAGCATCGAGCTCCGTGTCCTTGGCCAACAGGTCCGGCACCGCAGCCTCGTCCTCCAGGTCAGGCTCTGCCTCCTGATCTTCCTCGGGTGAGTCGGGTCCAACATCGGCAGCCTCCACCTGACTCTGGGGGATAGCATCCAGGACATTACCATCTTGGGGCAATTGATTCAGCCGCTCTTCGTCGATGGCGACGCATCGATAGCCAGGATGATGGCGGCGGAGGTAGTCTAGCCATATGGCAACCGGCTGGCGGCGCACGCGGAACTGGCGGGTGAATTGCCAGCTAAGATTTGCGTGGGACGACGTATTCGCAGGACGTAGTAACACGGTGTTCAACTCCTGCGGCAAAAGCGGGAGCTGGTTGTACACTAAGCCAACCTCCCGGAGAAAGTGAATTACGTGCCCTCGATACTTGTACTGCTGCTCTCGCACAAGCATAATGTTCACGTGGACGTGAACACGAGCAATCAAAGACTCTTCGGTTGGCGTAAGCTGGGGCAACCGGGCCGGTACAGGGCCAAAGTCGAGCTGATTGTCCGCAGAGAAGAAATATAGCTCGTCGGGCTGGCGCTTCTCATCCCTCCAATAACAACGCGCACAAATGCCATTGCAATCGATCTTCATCTGGAACCAACTCTCTTGGCATCGACTGCAAAACTGCATTTGGTCATTGTCCAGCTCTGTCCAGAACTCGCGGAGGATGGCCTTGTCGCGACCAGTCAAGGCGCAAGCTTCCAGATCTCCATTCCACACCGGGTCTTGTGCGTAGAATACCGCCGACTCTTCAGGTGGAATTCTCACCGAACTCCGAATACGTCGTGATGGCCTCAACGATCGAGTTTGCCTTCGAGATCGTCTCGGCCGCCCTCCTGTACCAGGAGCCGGACCACGGCGACCAGTCCTCGGCCGTGCAGAAGGCGGCCGCGAGCGATGACGAACAGGGCTTTCATCCACGGAGTCGTTACCGTCGCTCTCGTCTTCATCCCCTGGGTCGGAGTCACACTCTACCCCTATTTGCTCCAGGTACCTGCGTGGCCGAACGGGCGAAAGCAACAGGTTGAAATAGTCCTCGGCGTCAATATCGGACTCCGAGAACTGGCCCCAGTCATCTCCTTCCTTGATTATCCCATCCCCACCCGGAAGCCCACTCGGCCGCGGTCGATCTTGGCTGGCATCTACATTCTGTGGTTAGCCCGAAGTACTTCGACCATTAAGTAAGAATATCTGCCCCAGGCCCCTCCGAACCTTTAAACGCGCCGAGTTGAGATATTGAGGGAGTCAGTGACACAGTCTCCCCTGCACGGCGTCGTGAACGATGGCCGCGCTGGATAGCAGCCCGCTTGGCCCTTGCGCCGGCCATGGAGGAATCGTCCTGTGAGTCTCTCCCGCACTTGAGGAATCTAGGAGCCAAGTCAGGGTGACCTATATCAGGCGTGCTGCTTCGGATAGTAGACGGATCAGAATGTGAGGCGGTTAGTAGTGCCGTCGGCTACACAGGAGGTAAGGGAGCTATTGTACGGAAGAGCCGCGAGCTTTGTTGGGTTGGTGGAATTGGCGTCCCCAACACTACACACGGCTGGCTAATCGACGCCCCGGATAACGTCTTCGCTGTATGACATTGCCGTAGCCTCTCTGGCGACGTAGGCTGGGTTCCGAACCTGGCGTTAGGAGGTGATAGGCTAGCATCTTCTTCAGTTCTCTTCGGAGCGGGACCCCCAGTTGAGGAAGGATTGACGGCGAGGTTCCTTAACGTCAGGATCGCGCCTCTGGACCTGGAGTACTTTAATTAGTTAGTATCGAACGTCTTACGGAGTGGGAGACAGACTGACATGAGAACTGCGCTGATTGCGACAGTCCTGGCAGTTCTTGGTGTGCCCCACCGATTTCCTTTTGCCAATAAAGTCACCTGCCGGTTTCTCCTCGCCACAGCGGACACAGACGATGGAAATCATATCATCTTGAAGCTCTTGAGGAGTAGACCTAAGACGCATTACTTAATGGAGCAAGACATCAAGAGGCGTTGTGCGGGACGAAATGGGTATTTGAATCCCGAAATTCCAGGTAATTACTGTTAAGGGGCCTAAAGCTGCCCCCTAGTAAACAAACCAGGGGTCCTGGCAGCTGTTAAATAGCGACCCACCTTTCGAAGGCCGTCATCCAGTTGCGGTACGTTTTGCGACCAACCATACAAAATTTAGACCAATCAGAGCCCGGGAAACTTATTAATCCCTGTCTGCACCAAACCCTCATTATTGGGAAAACTTATGGATTAATGTAGAGTCAGCCTTCGGCTGAATAAAGAGTCAGCCTTCGGCTGAATAATTAGCTTTCCAATAGTTTAAGATATTAGACTAAAATAAAGTTAATAATATTCTTAAAAGAATAAGTAAGAAAGTATAAAAACTTACCTTTTTCTCAAGTCTATTCTCACTTAAATAAATAGTGAATTCCTCTTCTTGCTTTCCTTTAGAACTAATATATGTCACGGGCCAGGGCCCATATCCTTGCGGCTGTGCCGCAAGACGGCTCGTGCGCGCAGGGATGAGAAATCGTTCCACAGCTCAGGGGCACTTGGGAACTTCTTTCTTTCTTCTTCATCTTTGATGTAAATAGCATCCTGGACTAGATAGCTGGAATCCAGCTACTAGAGGCCGTTCACAATATATAGCTCATCTTCAAAGTCAGAATTGTAATGGACTGGCCTTACAGCTGCTGCGAGTAAGCGTCAATTGTTGAATTGATATTCTTAAGGAAGAGAAGCTTCCTCTCTACTAATTCCCCCTATTAATATTACGTCGTTGCTCAGTTAACAGACTGGGCGCGGTCCGCGCGCCCAGTCTGTTACTAAGCGCGAGCAAAGCTCGAGCCCATAACAAGAATCATCATTTAAAGGTGAGTTAATACTATTGTTAGATTGGACTACGTGCCTGAGGAACGTAGAGACGAAGGTGCCTTTGCCTTGAGGAACGAAAGGTTCTTCCTTCCGCCCCCTCGGGAACCCACCACCCCTAACGCCACACTAACACCGCCACACACTGCGCCGCAATTTCACTGCCACACAAGCCCCATCTGAAGAGCCTTTAAATCGATAAGCAGAACTTATCGTGGGGTGGACCTTTGCCCTGCTATTACGTCGATTTCGCGTAATTGGCAGCCGGATTACTAGCGCCGCAGAGAAGGTAATATATCGACGGTCAACGCCTTTCCTAGTTAACGTACTCCATAAGTGAGTCGGTCACCCAAGTGAGTCGGTCACGAATATTTACACCTTAAATCGCGATTTTAAAAAAGCTAAAATACTACGTCACCCCATGCACATTGGAGCGGCGATGGGGTGCATGGGGTAGCCTCAGCCGAAGGCTGTGTGTCCGTGGCCCGGGAAGCTATTACTACTACTGCATTATCTACGTACTGATCTATTGCCATGGCCATTCTTGGTATTATGTGACATGTACGGATTCCGTGTGAGCACCTGTCGTTTTCTAAGCTCCTGATCCCTCATCTTCATCTTCATGCCATCCGAGGGAGACCCGTAGATCAGGTGATTACGATCAAATGGTGCATCTAACATCAAGCCCTCGAGCGTCTTCACACGAGAGATAGCCACGTAGCTTAAACCCAGTCTGGAAATCCCGGCAGGAGAGATCGGAAACGATCATATCTTCTGTGATGCTTTGTGACTTATAAACGGTAATAGCGTAGCATATGATTAGGGGGAACTGGGTGCGACTGCAGAGAGTGGCTCTGATGAGGAAGCCCCTCTCTACGAGGAGAATCGGGACAATCATCCTGCCACCAGGGGTGGTTAGGAACACCGGTCTAATGTATTTGTTAAACTCTATCATGACGGTCTCGGATGCTTCCCAGCCCCGTGGAACCTAGCAGCTAAGTAAGAGTAATCTAAACCAGTTGTGCTGCCTCGGGCAGTAGATGGGTCAGAATGTGAGGCCATTAGATAGGTTATTAGCTACACGGGAGGTAAGGAAGCTAGAGCACGGAAATACTGCGTACTTTATTGAGTTAGTGGAAATGGCGTCCCCAGCATAACGTGCAGCTGGCTAAGTGACTCTCGGAATAGCCTCCTAGCTGTATAAATTTGCCGTAGTTTCTCTAGCGACGTAAGCTGAATTCTGGATCTCTCGTTAGGAGGCAATAAGCTAGCATTTCCGGCGGTTCTCTTCGGGGCACGTCTCTTAGCTGAGGCTAGGTTCCTCAGCGTCAAGGTCGCGTCTCTAGATCTGGAATACTTCATTTAGTTAGCATTGATCTTACAGAGTGGGGAGACAGAGCTGACATGAGAATCGTTCTTATTACGACAATCAAGGCGGTTCTTCGTGTTCCCAGCAGACTTCCTTTTGCTGACGAAGTCACCCGCCGGTCTCTCCTCGCGACAGCGGGCACAGACAACGGAAATTATGTCCATTATACAGCTCCCGGGAAGTGGATTTCGGACCTATTGCCTAACGAAAAGAAGACATGCAGAAGCGTTGAAGCGGACGAAATGGCTATCTTCAGCCAAGTGTAACGTAAACAAATCATCTTCTGAGTAAACAAACGGCGACATGGTGCAGAGGGCCTGGACCCACTTATCTGGAGCCGTCAGCCAGTTGCCGAACGATTTGCGGCTGGCAATACAAAATTTGGGCCAATCAGAGCCCGAGAAACTTATTACCCTTGTCTGCACCAGACCTGTCACGGCCCAGGTTGGACCAGGCGGTCACAACCGGCAGAACCATGACGTGCCCACTTTTTCACGTTACTTGTAGTACACGATCAGGGACCCACCACGGCCGATCACCAGTGATCCCGACGGATCACCAGTGATCGCGACCACCGTACTCCTGATCGCCTCACCAGACAATACTATATAGACGAAGACCTTAAGTCCCTAACCAGAGCCTTAAGCTCCTTAGCTATCAACACACTTGGTTACATTGAATCTACTATTCTACCATTACCAGACCGTGACCTACATTGCTCACTACGACGTCCTGATCCACTCGATCATACACCACACGCCTCGGACCTACCCTATACCCTTAGGTTAGACCCGACCGTCACAAGACCCTCATATTCAGAAAAAAACTTAAGAACTGATGTAGAGTCAGCCTTCGGCTGAATTAAATATCTGAACTAGGTTTAAAATAGCTGAAATTCTAAATATAGCTTAATCAGTATAAGGTATAACGTACTTGATAAGCGTGCGTCGCATCCAAGTGTGCGTCGCACTTTTCCTAACCTTCAATACAAGAACTTAAATAAAAACACAATAAAGTATTCAATTAATCAAAACTAATCGCTATACTCTTCCTCAGATATCTCAATAATAACCTGACAGGTCCTTGCATTATGACCAGTCTTTCCACAAGTTCCACAGCACCTTTCCTTCGGTCGCGCCGACCCTCCTTGACGACCACTTTTCGACGATTCGGCCTGTATCTGCGTATTCACATCCATTTGATCAATTGCTTCCCTTCCCTCCTCTACAGTCATCTTCCCTTTATTCTGTAGGCGGGTCCTTTTCGCTCTACACCGCTTACTAAGAGTCTCATTTGCCTGTCGAAGGATCTGGACCTCAGACTTTAATAATGCCATTTGATGCATTATTGCCTTTGTTCCTTTAGAAAATGACTCAAGCGCCTCAAGGATAGATGCTGGAGAGCTGCTCTGATGCCTTCTTACTCGTCTTTTAAGGTATTCAGACTGCGAACTGGCCTCAAGTACTGTCTTTGGGGTCTTCGAGACCCAAGGGTCAGGGAGGCCGACCTCCTCTGCAGCCGGTGTTGGAGTCCGTAGCTGCACATCAAGCTTCGATATGACATTTTCTGGGTTCAAGGGAACAAGTCCGGCCCCTCGAAAACCTCCCTCAATATTACTCCTTGTCATAGCGGCTGCGTGGGCAGCATAGAAGGCTGGGAAGAACTCGGTCTTCGTAACGTGGGTTATAGAGCATCTGATCAATTGCTCAATTTCTCGACCATAGGCTGTTTTAAGCGGCCCAAAGCACCCGACATCAAGAGGCTGGAGCAGATGAGATGAATGAGGCGGCATACAAAGCGTAATGATGTCGTTCTCTTCACAATATTTCTCAAAGTCGACGGAGTGGTGACTTTCATGCCCATCGAGGATCAGAAGACGATAGCGACCGGTCGATCGATCCTTTGTGTGCCGGTCAAAGTGCTTGAGCCACTCAAAACCTGTCTCATTGTCGGTCCAGCCATTTTGAGTCGTCGCAATAGCCCAATCGCCCGGGAGGTTGCTTTCCTGATACCAGCTAGCAAGGTGATATTGGCCCGCAACCACGATGAACGGCTGGATCGCCCAGCCTTCCGCATTGATTGCCTGAATGACTGTAACCCATTCCCGGTTTCCAGGCTGGACTAATTTCGGGTTTCCACGCCTATCTGTGCCTGTGACGACCATTCCGCTTGCGATTATGCCCATCATAAAGCCGGTCTCATCAAAGTTGTAGATATCGGCTAGGTCGATACCATATTTCGCGATTGTGTTCTCCACGAGCCTGAACCAAGCGCGAATAATCGTCGGATCTTCGCATTTAGCCCTCTGATAGTCATATTTACGAAAAAAACGCGTCTTAAGGTCTGGTTGTCGCCTGATGAAGTTGGAAGCCCAGCGCTTGCCGACAGGTGACGCGTCGCGGTCAGCGAGCAGTCGGTTAGCCATTTCTTCAACACCACGCAGTCGCGGGGGAAATCCTCGCGAATCCAGGTCGAGAATGAACTGAACAATGATCTGCTCCTCTAGATCAGATAGTCGACGCGATGGCGGGATATAATCGCGTCGAGATTGAATCCCATTCTGCCGGCGACGTAGCCTATGCTCATTGACCTCATAGATGCTTGCAGCGCGTCGGACACTTAGTTTTGGGTTATTTTGAAGGGCTTGAAGTGCAAGAAGAGTTTTTGCCTCGGTATTTGATTGTGACATGCTTGGTGGTTGAGATTTGATTGATGAAGTAAAAAGTTAGATGTAAGAGGGAAAAGTGCGACGCACACTTGGATGCGACGCACGCTTATCAAGTACGTTATATAGAAAATAATTCTCAGAAATTCTACCCTATAAGAGCCTTAGAAACCTTAAATAGTGGGTCTTTTTGTATCTTTTTAGGGTTTTTTAAGATTTTTAATTATAAAAGAAATAGTAGAATTTCTGGGATTTTTTTCATATATAGATCTAGCTTTAATAAGCCTATATTAAAAGTTTTAGCCGTTTTATATCTAGTTTTAATTTTTAAAAGCTATTTAAAAAACGGCGATTTAAGGTGTAAATACCTACTGACCGACTCACTTGGGTGACCGACTCACTTATGGAGTACGTTAGTTATCCCTGTAATTATCCTATTATGATAGTTATGCTACATTATTTGGTATTCCCTGAGGCTATCGCGAGCTCCTTTGGTTAGATTGTTACCGCTTTTGACGATGCCGCTGGCGCTGGCGCCGCTGCCGGAGCAGGTCAACTAGCCTGTTGAGGCTCTGGCCGTCTCGCAGCGCCTCTAGCTCTTGGATAGCCTCCTCTTCGCTCCTCCCGCGAGCTATGAGGGCCCTGAGGGCATCCCAAACCACCTTACGCCGGCAAAACTGCACAGTCATGGTGTTGCCCGGCCGCCAACGGTGGCCGTACTGCTCCTCAAGGCTTTCAATAGCCAGCCCGCCGGCCACGCCTTCCTTCCACTCGCACCACACACCCGCCACCGTATAGACCTTTGGGAGACGGCTGACAATAGGGATCCCCGACGCTGCTGCTGGCTCTGCCGTAGGCGAAGGCGCTATCGCCGGCGCGGTGGTGGCGTTGCCTAAGTAGCCAGTCATGATAATCTTAGTGTCGAGTAGCCGGTTAAGTTGTTGTTGTTGTATAGCGAGTTGGACAGCTAACTCGCTAGCCAGTCGGCTATGTAGTTGATGAGTGTTATGTAAAATCGCACTGCGTGTGCTCTCGATTAGGCTATAGAGCTCTGGGAGAACCCGCTTGACAAGCAGCGATGCCGGCTCCTCGGCATCATCAACACTAGCCTGTACGCTCTTTGCAAATGCGGCCCAGTCAGGGCCGCGAAAGGGGGCATACGAGAAGAAGGGCAGTGTAGGGAACTGCGGCTGCAGGGCAGCCAAGTCTTGCAAAAGCACCACTCGCAGGCGCCGCAGGAGCTTGAGGAAGCCATCACCAGCGAGGTCGTCGTCGTCAAGGCCGCCCTCGCTCCACCGCTTGCGGCGCGCGCGCGCCTCAAAGCGCTGCTCCCATGCCTCGATCCACGGCCAGAGCTGCCTCTGTAGGGCTGCCGGCGGCTCGTGTACGGCGCGCGTGAGGAAATAGTCGCCAGCAGTCCCTGAGAAGCCGGCCACGATGCGCATGAACTGCCGGGGCAGGTGGGTTAGGTATGCCTTGCATAGCACGCTCGCATTCCAACGCCCTGCCTGCGAGATTTGCGTGAGCGATGTGCCGTGCGTCTCAGCCTCTTGTGCGCCGGCGCGCCGCGGCAGATGGGTCTTCTTCTCAGCTGTCAGACCGACGGCGCCAAAGACCCTCCACGTCTCCTCGAGCTGCGTGCGGTAGGAGAGCTCTTGCATACGGTCAGAGCCCACGAGCACCTTGATGTTGTACCAGTCTTGGCGGTGGCGGAAGGTTGGCGCCGGCTCGCCGGCGATGTGCCAGCGCCAGAAGAGCAGCTGCGCGAGGGCGCCTTGCGTGCAGAGGAGGGGGTCTCGGTGGCGGAGCGCGCCCATGAACTCCTTCTTAGCGGTCTTATTCATCTTGCCGTCTTGCAGAAGCGCTACAAGGCATCCACACGGCGTAGGGCCCTCTGTGAGAGGGTACTCCAGCAGAGATAGATCAGCCAGCTCCATCTTCCGGCGGTTCTCCCCGCGCAAGAGGCAGTAGTGGCCAAAGAGTAGATCCACATGCGTGCGGAAGTTCTGTGGCAGGGCGGCTGATGTGCTGAGCAGGTGCTTCTGAATGGCAGACCACTCCGCGGCAGAGTAGCCCGCCTGGATGCCCTCACTGCCGCGGTCTCTAAAAGCGGTGCGGTCGATGCGCGAGCGCTGCCGGCTCCGCTGCTCGAGGAGGCCGCGCACGGCACTGCTGCGAGGGTTCTCAAGATTCCTGCCGCCGTGTGCGACCTGCAGCCGCCACAGCTCCATGACGGCTGCGATGTAGGCGTCAAGGGTAGCCCTGGTCAAGGGAGCACCCTCCTCGGCATCAACATCCTCCGGCGGCTCGTAGTCCTCTTGGTCGTCGCAGAGGATCTGGACGGCCTCGGCCAGTGGCACGCGCAGCGTCTCGGCTAGAGCTTCTGCCTTGGCGAGAGGGCTCTCCTCGGGGCCGGTCAGGCCGGCATCTGCGCTGTGGGCCGACTGCTTGGCCGGACGCCGACGCCGTGCGGCGACGCGGCGGAGGAGGAGGTCCTCGCTGAGCCAGGCGGCCAGCTTGTCAGGAGTGACGAGCTCGCCGTCTGGCCACGCCGAGAGCACGCCGTCGGGGCCAGGCCGCGGCGTCAAGCACCACTCCCTCCACTGCTTCTGCTTAGATGCGTAGCTGCGCATTGTGTTCTTCGGCTGCTCGTCTCTCTTAGCCTGTAGGCCGGACACTCTTTACACTCTTTACACTCTTTACACTCTTTACACTCTTTACACTCTTTACACTCTTTACACTCTTCTAGGCGAAAGAACGGGTTGGCGCTGCCGTGAGCGTGGCACCGGGAGATGGACGTGACCGCCGAGGAGATCCTGGTCGCGGGTGGGGATTCGGTGACCGCGACGCGTCGCTCGTCGAGACCCGTGAAACCAACCGCGAAAGCCCAAAATTTTTGGCAAGTAGCCTCAAGCCAGACCGGAACGTCGAAGAATGCCGGCACAAAGCAAGTGGCAGCAGGCGACAACGACTGGGACAATGCGGACCAGGGATTGCAGACCGTGGACGGCGCGGCTCGCAGCGATTCATCGCTATTGCAGATGATGCTCCAAACGACGCTCCAGACGATGCTCCAGGAAACGTCGAGCCATCTCATGAGCAAGCAGAAACAGATGCTGGAGAGACTCTGGGATGCTTTGGTGGAGAACCAGCAGAAAGCGACAAAGGTGATTAGCGATCAGCTGGAGATGATCCGACAACTCCAGCAGGAGATACGGACGGTCAGGGCCGAGGCGGCTGACGACCGGAAAAAAGCCGAGGAAACCAGAAGCATGCAGGAACAGACAGCACGTGAGATGAAACAGATGCGCGAGCAGCTGATTGAACAGCTCAGGCAGGTGAGGGAACAAGCGGCAGAAGAAACAAAGCAGTTGCGAGAACAACTAGACGCGATGGCCAAAAGTATTCAGGCCAACAGCGCCCAGACGAGCCCGCACCCATCGTATGCAGACGTAGCCCGTACCCCGCCGTCAAGCCAGCCAAGCAACGTTCAAACCCTCTCGTCGATGCAAACAACACCGTCCACACTTATCGATACTCTCTTCTGCACTATCGACACATCGCGTGTCAACGAGGAGGAGAAGGGCAAAGCGCAAGTGGGAGGAATTCGACAGGCCATTGAGGAGGAGATGCGAAAGAAGGAGGGCCGACAGGACTGGAGGTGTGCAGCGGTGGTGAGGAACGCAAAGAACGCAGACCGTATTAAGGTGATCTGCCGAGACGAGTCGGAGATGAAGCTCGTCAAGGAAGCGGCAGAGAAGACAGCAGTCAAGGGCGCAAGAGTCCTCAGGGACCAACTGTATCCGGTCAAAGTTGACGGCGCAAACAGGGCAGCGGTCCTGGACTCAGCTGGCAACGTGCTGCCAGGCACAGCGGAGGCGCTGGGAAAGGAGAACGGAGTGACGATTGCTAAGATGCACTGGCTCAGTGACAAGGAGAATGGGAAATCCTACGGCTCGATGGTGATCTACGTCACGAAGGCGAGTGATGCGCAACACCTGCTGGAAGAGAAATACTTTCACCTCGCTGGGGAGTCAGCCAGCACCAACCTTTTCGAGCGACGCCAAGGCCCAGCCCAATGCTACAACTGCTGGGAGCTTGGTCACAAAGCCTTCTCCTGCAACAAACCCCAGCGATGCGGCAAATGTGCGGAAACGGGACACCGCCACACACAGTGCCAGGCGATCGAGCCGAAGTGCGTTCTCTGCAGAGGGCCACACGAATCGCTCAGTCGCAACTGCCGAGTACGACAACTACATGACGGCAATGTGTACTAACCTTCAGATCCTCCAGCTCAACGTGGGGAAGAGGGATGCAGTGCAACTGAGCATGATGAACGACGGAGACTTGCGGGACTACGCGGTACTGGCAGTAGCCGAACCATACGCATTGAACATGGACGGTACGGTGGTGACAGCACCGAACAACCACAGAAACTGGACGAGATTGATACCGACGAAGAAACACGAGATGCGATGGCCGATCCGCAGCATGCTCTGGATCCGCAAGGATCTAGAGGCGGAGCAGGTGCCGATACCCTCAGCCGACCTGACGGGAGCAATAATACGGCTGCCCGACCGGGACGTCCTGGTGGTATCGGTGTATGTGGAAGGGAATAATGAGAATGCCCTACGCACGACAATGGTGCAACTGCACAGGGCGATAACGGGTTTCCGCAACAGCACGGGGAAAAGAACGGACGTGATCTTGGCAGGCGACTTCAACCGCCACGACCAGCTATGGGGAGGTGACGAGGTGACGGGCAGACGCCAAGGGGAGGCAGATCCAATCATCGACCTCATGGACGAGCAGGCCTCCTCAGCCTCCTTCCCAGGGGAACGAAAACCTGGGAGAGGGGTGGTGCGGAGAGCACGATCGACCTGATGCTCGCGTCGTCCGAACTGGCAGAAGAGATGGTTCACTGCGGCATACACCCAACCGAACACGGGTCGGACCATAGGGCAATCCGGACAGAGTTTGACCTCACGACGCCGGAGAGGACGGCGAGTCCGAGACTGCTCTTCAAGAACGCACCGTGGAATGCGATCAAGGAGAGAGTGAAAGACCAGCTAGCACCCCTCCCATGGGACGTCGGGGTTCAGACCCAGACGGACAGGCTGATGGAGGCGGTCCTCGGCGCAATCCACGCACTGGTCCCGCGAGCGAAGCCATCGCCATATGCCAAAAGATGGTGGACAACTGACCTTACTCGACTCCGGAAAGCCTACACGTACTGGAGAAACCTGGCGAGGGCACAGCGGCGGGCAGGCCATAGACAGGAAAACCTAGAGAGCCGGTCGAAGGTAGCATCCAAAGAGTACCACGACACCATCAGAAGACAGAAGAAGGCCCACTGGGACGACTTCCTCGCAGACAAGGCCAATATCTGGCAAGCGGCCAAATACCTCAAACCAGGTGGCGACATGGTCGGCGACAAAATCCCCCGGCTGAAAAGGGCGGACGGGACGACAACGCAGGACAAGGCGGAACAGGCAGAAGTACTGCTGACGACATTCTTCCCGCCGCTACCAGCAACCATCGAAGACGAAGGTCCACGACCGCGGCGGAGAGCAGTGGCCATGCCGGATTTGACGCTGGAGGAGGTGGAGGAGAAAGTCATGGCAGCCAAAGCGTGGAAAGCACCCGGGGAAGACGGCCTGCCGGCGATGGTGTGGAAGCAACTGTGGCCGGTGGTCAAAGAACGCGTGATGCATCTATTCCGCACCTCACTGAATGAAGGACAGCTACCAGACCAGTGGAGGAACGCCAAGATCATCCCGCTCAAGAAGCCGGACAAGGCCGACTACGCGGTCGCAAAGGCATGGAGACCGATCTCGCTGTTGTCGACGCTGGGCAAAGTGCTCGAAGCAGTGGTGGCGGACAGGATCTCGTATGTCGCCGAGACGTTCGGGCTCCTGCCTACAAATCACTTTGGGGCAAGGAAGCGGCGGTCGGCAGAGCAGGCACTGCTGCTCTTCCAAGAACAAGTGTACAAAGCATGGCGGAACCGCAGGGTGGTTAGCCTGGTCAGCTTCGACATCAAAGGTGCTTACAACGGGCATCCCGAAGAAGCTGGTGCAATGGATAGACGCATTTTGCTCCAATCGCACAGCCAGCATCGTGGTGAACGACTACACGTCAGAGCAACGGGAGCTGCCACAAGCCGGCCTTCCTCAGGGATCGCCGCTTTCGCCTGTGCTTTTCCTGTTCTTCAACGCAGACCTTATACAAAGTAAAATTGACTCGAAAGGGGGATCGATGGCCTTTGTCGACGACTACTCAGCCTGGGTCACGGGGCCGACGGCGGAGGCGAACAGGGACAGCATACAGGCCATCATCGACCGGGCACTGGCGTGGGGGAAACGCAGTGGAGCGACGTTTGAGCATGACAAGACAGCAATTGTCCACTTCACGCGCGTAGCTGAACGCACCAGTGAGGCGCCGTTCACGATCAATGGAGAGGAAGTCAAGCCGAAGGCGAAGGCCAAACTCTTAGGGGTAATCATGGACACGGAGCTCAGGTTCAAGGAACACATGGCCAAGGCCGCCACTAAAGGTCTCTTGGCAGCCATGTGTCTAAGGAGACTCAGGATGCTGCCACCACAAGCTGCCAGACAACTCTTCGTCGCAACCGTTGCCCCAGCCATGGACTACGCGTCTGTCGTATGGTCGCATGCGCGCGGCGAAAGGGAATTGAAAGAGTTCAACAGGGCACAGAAAATAGGAGCGCGGGCCATCACTGGGGCCTTCCAGACGGTGGCAAGGGCAGTAGCTGAAACGGAAGCCAACATCCAAACAGTACACGAGCGACATGCTCTGGCTGGAATGAAGTTGTACATCAATATGCACACGCTGCCAAAGAAGCACCCGCTAGCGACACTCAAAGTATCAGTGAGTCGAAGGTACATCTCGCCGATGAAGAGGCTGGCGCTTGCCCTCGGCGAGAGCGGAATCGGGCGGATGGAAACAATCGAAGCCTACGCAGCACCGCCGTGGCACGCCCGCGTGTCGTTGGTGTGCGAGGTAGAGCGGAAGATGGCGATAGCGGCAGCCAATAGTGCCGAAGACATCACCATCACGACCAGCGCTTCGGACAAAGGAGGAATGGTGGGCATGGGAGGCATCGTCAGCCACAGAGCAGCAGGGCAAGCGAACAGAGTCGTGGCCAGGTACTCAGTCACCCTCGGCTCTCGAGACGACCAGAACCCCTACACGGCCGAGTTGGGGGCGATAGCGACGGCATTGCGATGCATGCCTGACGGACTACGGGGCCGAAGACTTACCATACTGTCAAGCGGCCAGTCAGCTCTGAAGGCGATCGCGCGACCGCGACAACAATCGGGACAGTGCGCCATCCGGGAAATCTACAACCACATCCGACGGCTGGGAAAAGGCAAGAACAGTGTTAAAATGATCTGGGTACCGTCCCGGGACGACGCGTTCCCCTTGGGTCCCAAGGCGAAGAGACAGGCGCAGAGAGCAACCGAAGCAGGACGTACGGCAGAGACACCGCCATACCAAGCTCGATCGACGCGGACAAGACTGGCGAGAGCGCAGCTACAACAGCATCAGGCGCTACCGGACAGAGTGGGCGGCTTCTCCAAGAGGGTTGACAAAGCGCTACCAGGAAGACACACAAAGGTGCTATACGACGGACTGAAGAGGCGCGAAGCAGACACGCTTTCACAGTTACGCACGGGAATGGCGAGGATCAACAGCTACCTGTCGAGGATCGGCGCGGTGGAATCAGACTTGTGTGATTGTGGACGGGCAACCGAGACGATGGAACATTTTCTCTTTCGCTGCAGCAAGTGGGATACACAACGCGAAGGCATGCGGAGAATCGGACAAAGCGAGATGGGAAACCTCTCATTCTTTCTGGGAGGAAAGTCGGCGTTGGACGGACCGAGATGGTCACCTAACCTACGGGCGGTGCGAGCAACAATCAAATTCGCGATGGAGACAGGAAGACTAGGGCCAAGGGAGGAGAATTGAACATACTAACAGCCAGAACTAGAAAACACTAACACAACACAGCCTCATTTTGACAGACCACGCTTCAGCTGCTGAGGATAGGATGCTGAACACTTGGAGAAATTGGCCTTCAAGCAGGCCTGTCAGAGAGAGTCAAGTGAGGCCAAACGAAAGCGATCCAGGGAGAGAAAGTGGGGCTTTACTCTGTGGTCAGGATTGAAGGTGGCAGAACACGACCGAATACTGCTACGGAAAGAACCATTCTGTCTTCAAGTGCCGTGGGCGTTCTGAACCTTCCACGAGCTCACCCTCTTCCTTGGCGCCCCTTCTCTGCCCGCACCAGCGCCTCGTTTCAGGGGGTTCCTGCCTTGACCCGGCGCCTCGTGTTCTTCAGACTCTGTCGACACCGTCACCGACTCCTCTGTATCTGCCAGTGAGACTAAGTCTCACGCCGTGGGACTGTTTCTCATTGTGACCACATACCTGCGCAAACCACCTCTGTCTCATCCGATGTGGAACCTGCTAAATCCCTAGTTAGACGGATCGTTTCTTGTCCCTCGTCTTCAGAAACACGAACCGGGTGGATCCCGTTGCGATACGAAGAGCCGCTTCGTTATTGCTGAGCAATCCGCCTCTTCTGTTGCCTTCCCCCCTGACCTCTCCCTCCCCGCTCCCGTTCCAGCACTGGTTGGCACTGACGGTCGCCTCCAAGACGGGCCGACCGGGCTGCTGCTGAAGGGGCTTCGATTTTTGCCCGGCTCTTGCCTTGGTTTCTGCGGAGAAAGGCCGCTTCCGTTACTGCCGCCGCCGTCGAACGTCGCCCTCGAGGTAAAACCAAACTCATCAACGAGCACGACCAATATGTCCTGTCCGGGTTCAGGCTCCTTCTCGAGCAGTGCGACATTCAGCACGCCGATGATGCTTCCCCTTCCGTACATCCACTTTCTGGACACAAAGCCACCCTCTGCCGAAGCTTTCATCCAGCCGATCCGACTCTTCCAAGGTTGTTGATCGTATGGCATGTACGCCAATATGTGGAATATCTGGCCTCCCTTGAAAGGCGGGTCACTGTCACGGGGCGGTGCTAGGTACGTCTGGCATTGGACAAAGCCGCAGCACTTTAGTTGGTTTTCTGATAACGAGCCGGCTTTGAACCTGAAGGTCGTCGTGTCGATGGGTCCTTGAAAGCTAGCGCGCGGCGCGATGGTGGGGAAGCAACCACCCGCGTGCCTCAGAGACCTTTCTGCAACACTGAGGCATTGATTAGTGCGTAAAGTGATGAGATCCTTAAACGGACTACATAGGTGAAGGCCATACGCACGGTTGGAGACACATCTGTCCACGGACCTGTGCCAGCTTTCCATACAAGTCTTCCCACGATCCGACAATCGACTCGTCGCCATCCACGATTTTGCGACGAAAGTGCAGTTGGTAAGGATGCAGCTGCACGTCAAAGAAGAAACATTGATTTTCCCACTCTTCAATGTCTGGGAAAGGGTATACGTGCATTGACAATGGTATGTCGAGGTCACTTTGACCATCAAGGAGCTCTGCATGCTCTCCCCCTTGGTCGTCAAAGTACGCCGGCCTAACGAACTGCAGGCGAACCGCCCCGACAAGGTTCTGACCTCGGATGAATTGCCTATCGGTGGACGTGATAAGCTCGAGCCCTTCCAGGCTGGAGAAGAATTGTACGCCGAGAGGGTTCAGGGAAGGCTGCCCCTGGCCCTGACCTGACGGTGGTGGTCCTGCCATACTGGAAGGGTAATGGACACGGATATCGCACTCGTCTGTCAGATCCAATCAGAGTTGACGAAGGGCTGTTTCACTTCCCGATTCGATAATAACTGGAAACGATAGCGACAAGCGAACCAGCGCCTGTATCACTCTTTTTCATATGTGAGAAGTGAGAAAAGAGAAGAGAGAAGAGGGAATTTTAAATGCAAAGACCGACTTGAGACACCGACATCGGCTGCCTTTCTTATACAACAACTACCCTGGGCTAAATGAGGACACCATTGCGATTTGATCTTCCCAAGATTCCATGCGGCAGCCACACATCTTGCGATGCCACCGTATGAAACAGCGGCATATGATGGCCCGCGCCACTGCATCATCGCCTGCCTCAGGGTAGGACGCCGCGTTCATATGCTACTTGGGTTCATGGTCGTTTCCACGCCTCCGCGTGCTGCATCGTACCGACGGTACTGGCCGTCATCACCTGGCTAGTATTGCTTCATCTGCTTGTAAGGTACGTTTTACTTTTCCCAGCCAGGGGGGCAACGCGCGTTGAGCGGCTTCGTCTCAGACGCAATTCTCTTCTGTCTCCAGCTGCCCTCATTTCAGTCTGTTCTTAACAGTGACCTTCTTCGCCTCCTTCTCGCCGGGTTTTTTGGGGGGCCCTAACCTGAGAAATACAGTTCGTCATCATGCCCAAAAGAGACATCATCCGGGTCCCTCAGGAGGAGATCCGTCGTACGCTGGAAGCTCTCGATGGCAGACGCGTACGAAAAGACCTGGTCAATGTTTCGCCTGATGAGGTGCGCCGCACATTGGCAGACATAGACCGCCGGCGTGCCGAAGAGCGAGCCATTCGACGTGAACGAGCGAGTCAACGGGCTGCTATTCAAGCGGAGCCACGAGAGCGACAGCTTGCTGAATCTTCTCAAGAGAGGAGCGATGAATTTCAGGCGCCTTCGCATTCTGCCACCGCCACTGAAACCCGAAGTAGACTCGTCACCGTCTCGCCCGAGGAGATGCGTCGTACCTTGGAGGGCCTGGCACGCCAGCGCAAGGAAGAACGAATCCGTCAGAGGGCAGCCAACGCTGCACGAGCTCCGCGGTCACCGACACCCGACCAGATCCAGCCTTCCCCCCAAACGCCATCCTCGACTGCGCGAGTGTCGCGGCCGACCAGACCAGACCAGATACAACGTACCCCCCGAACCCCTTCTTCAAAACGACCAAGAGAAGCACAGGACCTTTTGACCCCACCAGACACGCGACCGGACCGCCGCCCTAAGAGGCCGCGTCCGTTAGCTGAGGTCACGGAGCTCCAACGAAAGTCGATCGAGTCTATTCTGCAACACTATGAGACTTGCTTTCGCGATAAAGAGGAGGCGTCGGTATCAAGATCCTGGTGCAACGAGGTCCCGCTTGCCGTCCAAGTGGAGGCGGCCAAGTCATTCTACCGAGCATTCACGGATGAGAAGACCCTACCGATTGCTCATTGCGTCTTCTGTTATAGGAAGTCAGCTCCTGGGGAACTCTCGACGGTCCAGTGGCAGAGCCAGTTGACCCCGTCCTTGATGCAAGCAACGAGGGCTCTTCAGCTGTGCGCAAAGTGCCTGCCACAAGACGGCGAGTGTTGGGTTGGCGTATGCCGCGAGTGTCGCGCTGGTCTACAGAACGGAAAACTACCCAAGGCCTGTTCAGTCAACAACATGCATATCGGATGCGAGCACCGGTACCCAAAAGAGCTTGATGACCTCTCCCCCGTCGAGGAAAGACTGATCGCCCTCCAGGCTCCTTTCGGGTACATTACAAAGTTCACCGTCGACAACAAGGCTCCTTCCGGCCTGAATTATAGGAAACACGTGAAGGGTCACATCGTTGTGTTTCCGAACAAGGTCGATGACCTTGTCGCGACAGTACTTCCCCATCCGTTACTGGAGGCGATCGAAAACATCCACCAGTGAAGTAAATAGTGCAAAATACCGTATACGATATTTTTTCAACCCCACACTGCACTGGATTGTTTAGAAATTCGGTGCACTGCACGGCATACGGTATTACACTGTATTTAAGCAATATCGTATCGTAATATCATATCGCACGGCGTGCGAAGAGCCGCATGGCCTAAGCATAAAACTAACCAAATTGAGTAAGGTTGAGATTCAAGATCGTCTCGCGGACCATAACAAGATGAAGCTATTCACAGCTAACATATAAGATTATACTATTGCTAGATAACGAGAACGCTCCGGAAACCGTTTTCCTAGACCTCACTCGCGTAGGTTAAGTGTTTACTTGAGCTACAGAATTGCTAATTTAACGTCACTCCTATTGCTTAGGTGTGAGAATGAAGTAGAACTAGAGGTCAAAAGAAAACTCCAGAGATTCGAGCATTTTGAGTTTGAATTGCTTGCATACTATCTATTGCTCGTAATATCAGGTATAATGTTAGAAGACCCCTGCTGTTCATCCTCTCCAATGATAGCTGTGTCCAAGACAAGCTCAACGTCGTCAACCCAAGCCAAGTTGCGAGTCTTCGACCAAGACTTTATGCACTCAATTGCCTCAATTATATCAATCCCTAACCTGTTCCTGCGATCTTGGAGGGTGATTTTGGTATCAGAGAAGAGACGTTCTGGCTCAGCAGACATCGCAGGAATTGACAAAAGATCGAGCGCCATTTTGGAAAGGTTTGGATAGAGCGTTTGTTGTGTATCCTCAAGCCACCACTTTCGTACATCTTTGACTTTGATTCTTGGGGCTGATATATAGTTCTGATACTCATCAAATAGGGTGGGAAGCTCGGGATCCTCATGTTCGTCTTCCCATGCAAGAAACGAGTTCTTCGCTAGTGGCTTTTCAACCAAGGACTGGGCTGATGACTCCGCTGACTTGGCGACTGGTGCGTAACGAGACTTCCAGAGATCTTCTACGGCAGTCTTATTGCTCTCAATCCACTCAGGATGTTCCTCCCAGGCAGTGTCAAAGTAGTGCCACTTTCGATGAGGGCTGAGGACAATAGCTGCAACATAAGCAGATGACGGCTCTGTAAGAGTGTAATATGCGTCGAGTTTCGCCCATCCAGCATCAATACAAGGCGCCATAAAAGCGTCATCTGCGTACTCGATTCGTGCAGCCTCAAATTTGCTAAGCAGGAAGTCCATTATTGGTAGCGTTCGATCGATTGTATGCGCGTGACCTTCTGCAGCCTTGGTGGCATCGGTGAATGATTTGAGGAAGTTGCAGATTTTTTTCAGCTCAGCCCAGTCTTGCTCGGAAACTAGAAACTATTAGTGTTGTCCTCTCAGTTGGATATATAGCATACGCGAATCAAGCTTAAGGTCCTTCTCCTTTGAGCAGTAGTAATCAATTTGATCTGCGAGCTCAATGGCTCTCTCAACCATGTAGTACTTTGAGTTCCATCTTGTATCGTTGTCACGAAGAAGACCCTTTTTCTCATTGATCTCTTTAAACCTCTGTATCCGTTGTGCACTACATCGGATAAAGACAACGATGTTGTGGAGCTTGCCAAGAGGACCAGTCTTCCTCCACTTCAATATATCAGCGTCTGAAGGCTTGATATATTCGCTTGTAGTGTCCTTTTTAACCTGGTTTTTCGTAGGGGCTTCGTCGGGTGCGGTTTTTGGGAACATAAACGCATGCGCTGCTAGATTGATGGTATGACCGTTACAACGAAGGCGGTGATGTTTCGCGTCGTATATGATATTGTGCCTCTCGTTCAACACTATTAATCATTAGTATTGTTCTCGCAATAAATTGATAGAGGCGTACATTTTTGTAGAGAATTCATCAACGTATCATTCGAGTCTGCATTGTCTGAAACAAAGTATCCAATCTGGGTGACAATTCCGTGTTCCTCGACGACACCCATCACAATATGGGCCTGATTTTCTCCTGAATGCTTGCCGTGTACCTCTCGTAAAGCAACACAATATGAAACCAGCTCGCCGTTGCTATCAATGAAGTGTGCAACAATACCAAGGATACCAAGCTTATTTGGAGAGGACCATATATCGACGGTGAAGTGTATTCTCGAGATAGCTGATTGGAGAACTTGTCGTATACGTCGCTTTTGCGTCTCAAACGTTCGCATCACCCACTCGCGAATCGTTTGATGTGATGTAGGTAAAATTGAGAGGACTCCAGCATTGAGGAATTTGAGCAAGCTAAAAGGGCATAAGATTAGTATATGAACCATTAATTTAAGTATGTTAGAGAACTTACGCTCGAAAGGTTTCTCTTGTTGCCATACGAAGTGCAATCCCGCAGTCTGCAATCCACTCCACATACAGCTGCTCAAACTTATCAGCGTCAAGATCTGTCGTTTCGTCATCGTGTCGACGGCGTTTGAGGGGATTCGCGTTCTGAGACATCCGTGAGAAGGCTTCCTCAAGGTGATTCCTTGTTTTAGCAGCCCTTTCTTCATTAGGCGTTAATATATCGAGAGTAGTGTGAGATTTGAGGTGCTTGTAGATGTGTGTCGTGCCTCCATTTTCGAGATATTCGGCAGGCTTCCCTTTACAGTATTTGCAACGCCATATAATCTGACCTTCCGTATTACGGACGATCTGATTCCTTCCGAAGGGCGTATGATCCCATATCTTCGACGTACGCTTCTTCTTCTTAAATTGAGAGGTTAACAACGGCGAAATAGATGTCTCTCCGACGTCAGTATCTCCGTTGTCGCTGATAACCGACGAACCAGGGGCTATTGAAGTCTGGGATGATGTAGCCGTGAAGGAAGCGCTAATACCTGAGCGCTGAGAAATCATTCTTTCGTAGAATAAGACTTGTTGATGAAGTAGGTGAAAATTCAGGAGCTGACACGCTTCACGTAAGGGGCACAGGTCGTATTCATCCAAAAGCGTGCTTGGAACCAGCAAATTGATTGCATTGAAGAAAAGAACTGAAAGCTCTCGGAGAGCTGGCTAGCTTGTTACATACTCAACGCTCAGGAGTTTGTGGCGAGGCCTTTATTTGGTGGCGTTATTAGCATCGGCATCAGCTGAGTGCAGATCAACGGCCCAACCGGGTTACACTTCATTAGTAAAAAGTTCTGTAAATTGGGATTTTCATAATGCCTCATGTATGGGGAGAGACCTCGTATTACTCGTATTACATAGTACTTGCACCATATTTAATATCATATTTATACGATATTTGAACGACCATGCACTGTATTACACGGTTTCCGGTGCTACTTGCACTGCACGGTATTTTTATACCGTGCAGGCAATACGATATTGAATATGATATCGTCTTATTTACGGCCACACTATTTACTTCACTGGCTAGAACTTGAAATACTCTCCAGCGACAGCTATATCACAGTAAGGTACGAATGCCAATCTCTGCTGATTCGTTATTGGCTTTAGAAACGACTTGAATTCCTCGGGAATGTCCTCAACCTCCCAGTCTTGTTCGGCTAAAGGGGTGATGATACAGTCTAGCTGGCTAAGAAGGCCAATCCTTTGAGTGGCCACAAAGGGCATAAGTACATCACGGCACTTTCGAATGAGATTATTCAGTAAATTCCAGCTGTGTTGCAGCGATATGGGATGTACATTCATATAGAGTCCACCACATTCTTCTATACAGTTTGGAGAAGTTCGCATCCTTTCCGTCGCCTATGTCACTTGAACTAATCAGCCATTAGATACCTGCCGACAAAAACTAACTTTCCACCTGATGACTTACTTCCTATGGTGATCAGTTCTCGTTATGAGACGAACCGAGTTATGAAAACAATGGTGCAAGTCCTTATCCTTGGTACAGGCAGACACCACCGCTCCCAGTATAAGAGAGCCTTATAGCATATGCATGGGATTCGTCTCGTACTGGAAATCGTGAATCAGTGACCTCATCCCCCCGCCACCTAGTATTTCATCATGGCTGGGTAATTGGAGACTCCGCGGGCTTGGGGGTTTGCCAGAGTCGAACCTCGGGTACAAAGCCATTCCTACACGGCGGTTCCTGTCCGGATTCTTCGCTCCTCGTATCCCCCTTATGGATCAGGGCTCCCTCCACAGCGATCTTACATACGGTAAAATCTTCCGCCTCGATGATCATATCACGAGACTTGACGCTAGCTGCAAGAAGATCCGACTTCAGCTGCCCATGTCGCGAGAAGAAGATGAAGCAAACGCTTTGCGATATGCTGGCCAAGAGGGGCATTCGCGACGCCTTCATCCAGCTCATTGTCACCCGGGACATCAAAGGTGTCCGCGAATCTGAGCCACACGAGCATGTTAACACTCTGTACATGTTCATTCAGCCGTACATTTGGGTCATGGAGCCTGAAATGCAGTTGACTGGTGGACTCGCCATCATCGCCTGGACAGTTCGCCGCACACCCCCCGGCTCAATCGATCCTACTGTCAAGAACCATCAATGGGGTGATCTCACCTGTGCCATACAGGATGCTCGGGATCGGGGCGCCAAGTATCCCTTCCTTACTGATGACGATGCCTACTTTACTGAAGTATCCGGCTTTAATGTCGTTTTCGTAAAGGATGGCAAGATCTTCACGGCTGACCGGGGTGTCTTGGAGGGCATTACGTGTAAGAGTGTCTTTGATGTCGCTCGGGCGAATAACATTGAGATCCGATGCGAGGTTGTTCCTGTGGCTCTCACTTATGAGGCTGACCTTGTGCCTTCTTTACTGTCTGAGCTTTTTGCGCACATGTCTTGTATTTTATGCTTTTCTCTACCCGCTTCGCTTGCCACTTAATTCAGCGCGACGCGACAGAACGTCGATTTTATGCATCTGGCGCATGTCAAGCCATGAGCGACTCCAATGGAATCCTCGTCTGGGTCCTGAATCTTCCCGAGCACCGATTACGGTCCCCCTTTACCTCCCGGTGTGCCTCGTAAACACAAGACTCGAACTACGGCTTCAAGCCCTTACTTCGAGAGTGCACCACAAGTCGTTTGTTACTATAATATCATCCCACACAGGAAAACGTTCGATTCTCTCAAGTCTGCAAGCTTATATAAAACGGCACTTTCATGCTACACGCTAGTTCCTCAGCATCAAACCGGTTTGAAGCCCCTCATATCATCGTTCAGTATCTCCTGTACTTTCTTCCTGTACGCACCCAATCCACCAAACCAAAACATCGTAACAGCCTTCTTACCGGGTACGTTGGCGCCGAAGATCCACGAGGATTCGATTCTGCGGAACAAGCTTCTAGAGCTCAACTGGTCACAGAGGTCCGTCCAGTCCTTTTCCACTTGGGGTTCGGCTTCGATGATGCCATGCTGGGGCATGTGGCCACTCGTGTTGACGCCGTCGGTTCCATTTGCGCCGTTTGATCCGTTGATCATATCGTCCGCCTTGATGAGGGGTGTCGACTTCTTCTCCGCTGTGCTGACCAGGCCGGAGATAATCTCGACGTGACACTCGATAGCAGGAGGAAGGTTCGAGAATGGGCCATTTGGACCTGTGATCATAAAGAGATTGGGGAAGTTCGGTACACATATGCCCAAGTACGAAGTCGGTCCTGTCTCAGACCAGTGGTCTCTAAGCGTCTCGCCATTTCGCCCCTTAATCGCAATGCGGGTGTAGTTCCCGTCGACAGCGTCAAAGCCAGTTGCACAAATAACGACGTCGAGCTCGTAGATCTTGCCGTCGGCAGTCTTGATGCCTTTCGACGTAAACTCGGCGATTGGATTTTTCTTGATATCCACGACATCAACGTTGTCGCGGTTGAACTGCTCGTAGTAGCCAGTATCGCACAGCGGTCTCCGGGCATAGAACTCCGTAGGGCAAAGCTTCTCGGCCTTCTCCGGATCCTTGACTGTCTGGCGGATCTTGTTTCGAATAAAATCAGCCGCCACCTTGTTCGCCTCTTCATTCACGGTGATGTCGCTAAACGTCGCGAACATGAAACGGAACCCATTTCCTTTCTGCCAGGCGTCCTCGAAAATCTGTTCGCGCTCTTCGGGTGTGACGCTGAAGGTTGGGCGGGTGCTCTCTGGGAACCCATACGCAAACAAGCTGTTCTTGGCCTGGTCCCAGATTTCCTCGTATGTGTCGTTGATCTGTTTGCGGTGTTCGGCTGAGACTGCTCCGTTGCCGGCGGGGACACTGTATTGGGGATTGCGTTGGAAAGAGAGCAGCTGCTTGACTTCGTTGGCCTTTGCGGTTGCCGTAATGAGCTGAACGCCAGTCGAGCCGTTCCCGATGACGCCTACACGCTTGCCTTTGAGGTCCACGTTGTCGGGCCACCGAGCCGTGTGGTAGAGCTCGCCTTCGTATTTGTCGAGGTTGCGGATCTGGGGGAAGTTGGTCTTCGAGAGGAGACCGAGTGCCGTGATGAGATATTTGACTCTGAGAACTTTGTTTGTAGATAGAACTACGACCCATCTACGCTCGTCATCATCCCATTGTGCTGATAGGAGCTCGGTATTGAATTCGAAGTGCTTCCGCAGGTCGTATTTCTGAACCACGTGCCGCAGATATTGCAATATCTCCGGGCCTTGGAGATAGTGCTCACCCCACGGGTATGTCTTGAGATCTTCTAGGTCCCAAGAGTATCGATAGAGAACGGACTGGGTACTGCCTAGATTTAGCTGGATCCTCTTCCACGGGGGCGTAGCGGCATGCTGGAGGCTCACTTACTCAGACATGGCTCCTGGATAATGGTTCCAGTACCAAGTGCCTCCGACGTCGTCTGCCATATCAATGGCCTTCACATTCAGACCTTGGGCGAGTAGCTTCTTGAGTTGGTAGATGCCACCAAACCCTGCACCAACGACCAAGGCATCAAGGTACTGTGTCTCCATCTTGAAAGCTTGCTTCGGTCGAAACCCAAATTGAGAAAAAGATATTCAAGTGGCTGAGATGGTCAGAAACATGGGAAAGCAAGACTAACGACAGAAGGAAAGGCCACGGGATGATATAGAGCTACCGGTACAGAGTCATACTGTCACGTGCTTAACGTGGCTCCGACTCATGTCGCTAAGTCCCCGCAAACCCGCTCGATAGATCTGGGGTAAGCAGCAAACTCGGGGCCCCATGGGGAGTCCCGGGTCCGCGACTCATGGATGGCTGGGCATTGGGAAATACCCTGCCGTCCCAAGCTCGGTTATCGCTGTTGCTGAGCGCCGACAGGTACCGGACCGACACGGCAATTCTCTATATAGCCGACACTTGGCTGTTTACAGATCCATATAGCCGCTGACCATTCGTGTCCGCAGTTTAGAGCGAGAGCGGCCGTTGATAGCAATAAGAAATTGGCGTCAAGTTCCTACGAAGCTGCGAACAAGGCGCTCGCGTGGAATCAAAACGACAGCTTATGCATTACTGATACTACTCTGGCTTAGAAACGCCCAAGGCTGTCCAGACGCAAACGCAGCTTCTATTGTGTTATTTCGTGTCCGAGAGGACCTATCCAACATGTTCTCTACGAATCCACTTTGCCAGCCGCCTTACCCTATGCAGACATCCTGTAGGTCGTCACACACCACTAGGAAGCGGAGAGACGCCCGCTGCAAGGCTGTCTTCTCCGATGACTGGGACTGGCCGTTCAATCCCAAGAAGAATCGACCAAGGCGGCAAAGGTTTGCCAATCGTGGAGAAAGGATCTCGGGGTTCACTGCCGTCTTCTGTGATGACTGGAAAGACGACGAGGTCGAGGACGAAGCACCTCTCTGCGCTCTTGAACTTGCCGGCTCGCAGAGCCCCCGATCTGGCCAATGGTATGGAGGCTATGAGAACGAAGGGGACGGCAATGGCTTCAACGATTTCGATAACTTCGCGGAGCTCTTCTCCGAGTTGCCTCTATCCAAATGGCCATGTACAGAACAGAGCAGCCTGCCGAGAGCAGAGGCCACGCTTCCGACCACACCGAACGTCTGCCAGCTATGCCAGTCCCGGGAGACCAAACCAGAGGCATGGTGGCCTCCATCGGCAATGAATTTACCCAGTCTCGGCCCATCACCCACAGCGTCTGCCGATAACGGGGCTTCTAGTCAAGGATCCGCGACACAATGTTACTCAACACCAGAAACGCCAGCTTTGTCGTGTTCTATGCCGATCGACGTCGCGTCTCTTACCAACACAGAGAGTTATCACTTCCAGGCATCAGAAGAAGATGAGTGGCCGCTTCTTTCATCTGTGCTGGCGGATTCGACTACCAAGGATCGAGACAACATAACGCCCTCAACTCAAGATACTCCTGAACACCAATGGTTTTTAGCGGATGGTTGGGCTATGGAAGCCACGGGTTTCGATTATTGGGATTATTTCTTGGATTGTACAATTGGTGCTGGCGACTGTCATGGGATTCGGGGCTGTGAGAAGTTGAATGGTTTGGGGAAAACGCCGCTCGAGGCTTGACTTTCAGCAGTTCATTGATTGGGAGTTGGCCAGCTAGCCTAGGTTCTTCATAAAATACATTGTATCATTATCTAAAAGTATGACGGAATAAACGGCATTTTCAGTCAATGCGTGAGTATTTATACTCACCACTAAGCTAAAGCTTGTCCAGACCGACAGGCATGCCCGTTCCATCGTGACCTACCCTAGAAACACAAGTCGGAACCTTGATAAGGAACAGCCTTACAATATCTATGAACTCTAGCTATATATTGTGCATATCTACAACTTCGCACGATTCGCCTCAGACTCCTTGCGAGCCATCTCCTTGAGCTCCTTCCTCAGTATCTTCCCACTCGCGTTCTTCGGAATTACATCTACCACTCGAACGCCCCCCCTCAACTTCTTATGACTTGCCACCCGACCAGCAAACCACCTCTGCAGCTCATTAGAATCCAAGGGTCCTGACGCGGCGTCCGTAACGACGTACGCTCTTGGGACCTCAGTAGCCAAGTCCTTGTCATACAGACCCACCACCGCACAGTCAATAATGCCTGGGAAATCGAGGAGGTAGCCTTCCAGTTCTGCGGGTGGGACTTGAAATCCTTTATACTTGATCAACTCTTTGACGCGGTCCGTAATGAATAGATTTCCCCGCGCATTGATGTACCCCACGTCACCCGTGCGGAACCATCCATCCGGGGACAGGCACTCAGCCGTGGCTTCCGGGTTGTTATGGTAGCCTTTGAAGACAGTAGGGCCCATGACGTGTAGCTCTCCCACCTCCCCAGGCGGGAGCTCTCGAGCCGTGGTTGCCGTGGCGTTGTCACGAGAGCTGTGAAGAGGCTCGCAAATCTTGACTTCTAGATTCGGCAGCAAAGCACCGCAACTTCCAATGTCGACGTCCCATGCATCCCAAGAGCCTTGATATAGGCACGGACTAGTCTCGGAGAGTCCATAGCCTTGCTTGATGCGGATCTTTAGCCTCTTGTAGACTCGCTCGATAAGTTCGCGGGTAAGGGGTGCGGCGCCTGACTGGGTCATGCGCAGGCTAGAGAGGTCGTAGGTAGAGACGGACTTGTGTTTGGCTAGGTGAAGGACAATCGGCGGTACAATGTAAGAGTATGTGATTCGTTGCTTCTCCACTAGCTGGCACCATATGTCGACATTGAAGCGTGGCAGCACAACAGTCGTCACGCCCGAGTATAGGGGACTGTGGACGAGAACAGTCAATCCGTAGATGTGGAAGAACGGGAGACAGGCGAGGATCTTATCGCCTCCAGTCCCTGGCTCGGGCAAGGGAATGTCTCGAGTGGTTCGGCTCCCGTCCCAAGTAAGGTTGAACCCTTCTGCCACCTGAAGTTGAAGGACGTTGGACGTGATGTTGTAATGGGAGAGCTTGACACCCTTGGGCTTCCCTGTGGTTCCAGAAGAATAGACCAGAAAGGCAGTGTCAATCTTAGGATCGAGCCTGCGTGCCACAAACTGTCTGATAGAGCTCAGACTGCGAATACTTGTCCAATGTTTCAAGCGCGCCATTGGGTCTTTCTCGCTCCCGAGGAGGATGATGTAGTCCTCTGCAATACCCACGGCACGACACGCCTTTTTGACTTTCTCGATGTCGGAATACTGCGTGACGATGGCTTTGGCGCCGCTGTCCCGGAGTTGGTGAGAGAGTTCCCCAACCGTGTAACCGGGGTTCGAAGTCGTCACTGTTCCTCCAGCCCAGAGAGCGCCAAAGATTACCGGGGGCATATCAATCTCGCTCAACGATGATATCGCCAGCACATCTCCCCTTCTCCAATCGTATTGAGACCTTAATCCCTGACCGAACTGTTCCGAGAGACGTTGCAAATCTCCAAAGCTATACGTTTTGTCGGTAAGGCCATCTCGAAAGATTGCTGCACCGCATAGATCAGCATAATTGAGCTAACCAAGGTGATTTCTGGGTCTTGAAAACGTACGGTGACTATCCGGAAACGGGCGGTCCTTGCGCTTGAACAAGAAAGAGAAGATGTCGACATTCGGAAGATCCAGATCGGGATAGTGACTTTTGGTGACCATTGCAGCTCCGGCCTCAGATTTTCAGCTGCCCTGGGACTTCAATTGGTATGTGACTGTGCTTGTGGTGAAGGAGACTGTGATAGCAGCATGTGCGAAATAGGCCAGGTATGAAGAAATTCTCTTGAGGGCGTGAATTGTCAAAAGAAAATAGAAAGTAAATTCTTATCGATAGCACACGAGCAGTAATACCATCCCTGGTAGCTCGGTTAGGTAATATCAACACGGGCCGCGGTCGGCGGTTAGATGTCGGATTATCGGCATACAAGGCTATATGCTACTACTTCGGTACTAGGTAATTCGGGTTACCGATAGCCCCTCTGAGACAATCATCGCACATGCAGCTCGGTTATAACGGCCTGCGTCTCCGATCATATGTCGGATATGGGTTGCGTATGCTGGAGTCAACGGCTCTCAAAAAGCTTCGTCTTTAAAACAAGATACCAAGTATGGGCTGCGAGACTATTGTTGATCTGAATATACATAACATTACAAGCCCCGAAGGAGCAGCTTCTTCAACCCAACAAAGCATTACGGCCATATATCTGAACTATTTGCACAGAGAGCTAGGACTGCCGGGCTACCTACATTGGCATGAAAGGAGGGTTCCCCGAGGGTATCGTGAGATAGTTCGACATCAAAAACAGCTCATTCGCCATAGAACCCACGCTTTGGTAGGTCGGCGAACCGAAATCAATACAATGCAGTATATCATCCTCGGGCATTATGTCTAGAACGCGGCCATCTTGAGACATAGGCACCGCGTCCGACTCTGGCGCAATGTTATTGCTCATTGTCGTATCCCGGCCGATCTGTTGTGCTGTATCCGGGCTATCGATGTTGCTGGACGGTAAAAAGTCGAAGATCCGTAACACCCAGTTTGCTGGATCCCATCTCTCGCGCGCTTCGCTGATCAGCATTTGACAATTATCGAGCGCGGACCGAGGCAGATGAGTAAGAGAACCTTGGGCATGCTTGGTCCCACGGTAGAAAACGATGCTGGCAATGAAGAAACCGGAGAAGATCTCGTGAGGCACCATGTCGAGCATGGAATTGACCATGATTGTGAAAGCCGTCGATGCGATGATGTGTGCAGCGGATTCGGTGACCTCGGAAGCTGAGGTTGAAGCGCCGGGCGAGAGAACGGGAATATGGGCCACGTCCTCGGGTTTCTGGAGGTGGATGAGAATAAGTTGGAGGTGGAAGATGATCTTCAAGCTGAGAGCAAAGACATTGGTGGTCAGGGCCTGCTGCTGCAACCAGCTGATCGACGACGGCAGCTCCGACTTCCACTTTTCCATCTGGTTGTGGAGGTAGTCAGTCATTGAAGCGTTCGCCGCCGGGCCAAATCGCGCTTCCATGATGCCACGTAGGATCAGAGAGAGTTTCGAGACCTGGATCTGATAATGGGCATGCGATTGGCACCTGGCTTGATCTTCAGAGCCGCTGCTCTGTCCGTCATGGAAATCGTCCAAGCCCAGCGGTTCCGTGTCGCACTGGACAATGTTGAGCCGGCACGGGCGACCGAGCAACGTCGCGCAATACGCGTCCCGGACGGCGAGGACCCAGAATAAGCGTTTAAGCAGGGACCTCCGCTTCCTATCCATGTAGATGGATGTGTTTAGTCTATGAATTCCCAGGGATTCTGCAATGGTGACGCCAAAGCCAACCCAAGAACATGGATTCCAGTAGCTCTTCATCTGTGGACCCCAGAACGAGAGCATGATGACCGTCTGGAGGAGGACGATCTTGTTTGTCTCGTAGCCAGTGTCGAATAACAGCTTCGCCTTGTCGTAGAAATGCCGTCGTGCGTGCCAGCGCCCCTTGAAGCCTGCTTGATGGATTTTGCTCAAGTCACAGAACGTAGATCCGATGAAACAGACAGCGTGAAGTAGGATCCAAGGTAGGGTACGTGCTTTGAAGGAGTCGTTGAAGGCACTCAAATCGACGATGGAATACGAGGGGTAGAATCTTTCTGTGAAAGCGGTGACCATTGCATCGCAGACGTCGTTCGTTGGTCGTTCGAAGGCTCCCTTCGCTTTGAGATAGCCGATGTCTTGCGGCGACAGATGGGATGGGTGGTTGGTGCACTCGACCGGTCCCGTACAAACTGCCTTGATGAAGTGCGAGTCAGCATCGTGCAGGACTGCCTTATCGATTTGGTTCCGGGCCTCCTCGAGCGCAAACGTCAGGGGAGAGGCGCCGCTCATGAACATGATGCCGCACTTGTTGGCGGCGTCCTCAACATTATGGCCTTGTTGCTCGATGAACCGTTCGAACATGGACGTTAGCGAGTCCTGAGTCTGCGGCTGCGCTGCCCCGGTCCGTTCGAGGCTCTGGGTCTCAGATCCGCTCGCCAGGTCGTCGGACCCGTCAAACTCCACGGCCCCCCCGTCTGCCACTGCATCAGTCAGACCTTGGGGTGCCGAGTCGACGGACGAGGGCGGTGAAAAGACGGCGGTATTCGACTGGCACGGTTCCGCCAATGATGCGTGATGTCGAGTGGACGATACAGCATCTGTGTCGGTGGATAGAGAGACGATGCTCTGATGCATAGTCTGCTGCTGAGATCGCTGTCGTTTGTACGTGCCCCGTCTCGAGGCAACGAGGTGGCAATTGGGAGTCCTGGCTACGCGGCAACGACTGCACGGAAGCCCAACCTCAGTCACGTCGCACCGCACCTTTCGTGAACTACACGCTTGGCAGGCGCGGGCTGCACGCAACCGGTTCCGGCCTTCTTCAGACATTTCGACGACAGGGGAGGGAGCCAGTGACTCAGTTGGAAGGGCAAAGCAGTGGGAGCGGATGTATCGAGCGTAGTTGATTAAATAGAGAGGGTAGAGGCAACAAGAGCCGTCTTTGTATCAGCAAAAGTACCAGCAAAAGCGAATGATCCACCCCCGCATGCACTAATCTACCCCGCACTGGCCCGTGCGCACGCTAAGGTACCCCGCACGCACAGTCCACGCTGTTTGTTCCACACGGAAGGCGGGGAGGGCTGTCCCCTTTGCCGTCTCACCCCCCTACCCGACCTTCCGCCTTCCGACCCCCCCTCCCACCTGCTGTCATTCATACAGCCGACCTTGACCTGGCAAGTGGGTCAATCAGTCGTTACAGATTACTGACTCAGATGTTCTTGTGGGGAGTCGTCACCATTTCTTGCACGTACCTTATTGATGAGACACTTTCCTCAGAAGCCTCTTGAGCTGTTGGGTTGTTGGGTTGTTTTCTAGCTTATTCTCGCTGTTACAATGGGGAAGTTAAACTGGTATCCAAGGCATGCCCAGCGTATCTAGTCCTCCAATAAGTCAATCATAAAGCTGCTGCTATCATTTCTATCGAGTTAATATTGTCCTTCCATGGTCGGAAAGGACTATAATATTTATTCGCTACCAATCTCTCTATGCTGAACCATGAGCTCACTGTTCTTCTCACTGTTCTGTACACTTGCAAGCGCGACGTCCTGCTTAGCTAGGGATGTTGCTTCTTCCCAGGACATTTCTTTACCACTTTCGTACTGAATCTCGAACAGTCTGTCAATCTCCTCCAGGGACAAGCCAGCAGTCTCAATATAGAAGTACCAAATAAACGGCAGCCAAGCAATGTTAGTCACAGCGAAGATTATATAAAATTTCCAGCCGATGTTATCAATACCTATAATGACCTGTTATTAGGGGGCTTTTCTTGGTTTCACACGAGCAGGGCTCCTTGGAGGTAGGAAGAGGGCACGTACCAATTGGGGTGATGAGTACAATCACGTAGACAAAGACCCAGTTTGTGATCATGGCGATTGAGCTGCCCACGTTCCGCATGCGCTGGGAGTTGATCTCCGAAGGATAGCAGAACGGGATGGACAAGAAAGAGAGGCCCTGGAGACTCAGGTTAGCCGCATCAAATACAATATGCTGAACAGCACCAAAGGAGAGAGATCTTACAAAGAAAACGTGGTAGACAAAGATGGCTGTGACAGCAACAGCCTGAGAGGATTTCGTTCCAACTCCCAGACCTGCAGCAGCAATGGCAAAACAGATCCCCTGAGCAAGAGCTCCTATGAGCATCAGCCTCTTACGTCCCCATTTATCGATAACAAGCATGACAATTGCTCCCCAGACCATCAGTGACATGAAGTCACAAGCGGAGAGGATTAAAGCCTGTCGACTGTCGAAGCCAAAGGAAACCGTTAGAATGACTGGCATGTAGTAGACCACGACGTTGATACCGCCCATCTGCTGCATGAGCGAAGTTCCAGCACCCAGTGCGATTCGGCGGAAGTTTTGTTGCGGCCCGTTGGAGAAGATATCGCGCCAGCCGACCTGGGCAAGCTCTTTCTCATGGGCAATGGATGAGGCAATCAGCCGGAGGGAGTCAACCACCGCTGGGTCATCGGCGGGCTTTGCCAGGAGTCGACCAATGATGGCCTGCGCTTCGGTATGTCGATCTTTGGTGCACAGCCATCGAGGAGACTCGGGCATGCAAGCAACAAGCGCGATAGCGAGGAGGGCAATGAAGGACTGGAATGCAAGGGGGAACCTCCAGCTGACAGGGCTGTCAAGAACGTAAGTGAAGCCCAGATTCATCCAGCAAGAGAAAGCGATGCCTCCGACGACGACGACGAGCTGGATAGCGATAAGTTTGCCGCGATGCTCAGGCTTGCATGTCTCGCTTTGCCAGATGGGCACAGCAACCGAGTTCATGCCAATGCCGAAGCCGGCGACGATGCGGCCAACGATCATTTGAGCGAGAGAGTAGGAGGACGACTGTATAATGCCGCCGAGGATGACGAAGACGCAACCCAGTGTAATGGTTTTGCGTCTACCGAGGATGTCACCAACGAATATGGTCAGGAGGGCTCCGAGGATGCACCCAAGGTCGTAGGTTGAGACAATCTGGCCCTGGATCATAGCTGACGGTTGGTTGAAGGCTGATTGGAATAATGGATGCTGGAGAATACCGCCAAATACTCCTTGGTCGAATCCGAAGAGCATAAAAGCAGTCCCGCATGTTGCGGTGATGCCGACAGTCAGGGCACTGCCTTCAAGCTGGGTAATCCACATGATGAGAGTGGACAGATCAAACCCGTATCTCAATATGAGGTGTTGTGACAGAAGAAAGAAGTTAATAGGAAACAAGGTCGGTAGAGAATAACAATAGGACGGCTGTAGGAACGGATGCCGTTAATATATATCTAGGCGAGCGTTAAAGCATCACTTGATGGTTATTGGTTGGAATTGACTACCCTACCGAAGCGGATATCAGATCCCCGTGGGGACCCCGCACTGATCAGCGAGGAATGGAGATCGGCCAATCTTAGTTTCTTAGTTCATTGCTCGCTAGGCAGCAATATCTACCCGCAGCATATAACCGACTGTGGCATGACTCCGCTCGGCACTCATGAATCGTTCTGCAATTTAGTCTCCCACATCAAACGTACGTCCACACTAAGCTTACTACTAGAGGGCAAATACTCGACAGGCTGTGGTCATGGAGACAACTGTTAACAATGCTACTATTACGTGAAGGTGTAGAATAGACGAGACTTCTTTACAATGATGAAGAGCAGAGGTGCGAACCACGATGGCTGAACGACAACTCTTACATGATTCGCCTGAGTTGTTGAACAGCGGCTATTATCTATGGCTCCACGCATGCTGTTCTCACGGCTGGGTTCAAAGTGGGATGATTACCTTGATGCAACAAACTTACGAGCGGGTTGACTGCGAGATCGACGCCGAGCTTGTTTGCTTCACGTGGCCTCAGCTCGGTTACTTCGTTAATCCCTACCTTGTAAGCGCTCTCGGGACTTCGGTAGCCAAAGCAGAGCTAGGTTGATTAAGCCGACGCCTAAGATGACCATGTCATGGCCTATCCTGAATACAGGTATTCAGATCATATTCTCATATGAGAGGCGACACCTGAAGCTCAGTCAGCCCCTAACGTTCAACCATGCTCCTTTAGTGTACAGCTAATTTGGTTGACCACAATCACATCGACAAATGCTCCTACCTTGCTGCCAAGGCCATAGCACGCCCAGTCATTTGCAGCATATTCATGATACATGGAGAGGCAGAGAGGAAAGCAAATCCCGCATACCTGACTTGCCATAGATTTCTTTCTGTTCCCACACTGGGTGTCCATCATATGCAGCCCGGGATGCATTGATTATATTCTGACTACCCTCAATATGCAGGGAGCTATCTTTTTTTTTGGCTGTGTTATCTTTCGTATTGGCCGTTTGGGTAGCAAGTTGAGAGAAGTAATAATTGCTGTCTCTGGGGAACTCAGAGTTGATGCAATGTACCGGATAATAGCGAACGCGCATCCCTGCATGTATCAACTGCAAGAAAGTCTAAATGGGCCGGAGCGCAAGGTTGTATCCTGGGGCTGAGACGTGGAAACGCAATGAATGGCTGGGCATTCGGTCCTGGGTCAATCAACCAAAACGCGATCCATTATCCAAGCGAAAAACCACTTCATCGGGCCCAGGCTCTGGAATCTTTGTCATATTATGCGTCTGCCAATGGCGATTGCGTGTATTTCATGACCGTCCGGTGTTGTAACTTATCACCGAGACGGAACCGTCGAGGTCAGTGAACCGGCTTCTTGTGCGAAACCTCACGTCGGTCCGGGAGAGGGTTTGCGGATCTTATTACGAGCAAGTTAAACATCAGGGCGGGCGTCCGTGACTGAAATACTATGAGGAACGTAGCATGGCTTTTAGAGAACCACTTGAAACTGCCTTTATTCTATTCAATGCTGGGGTAATGACTGTCCTATCCATTCTGAATTTCCAAGTGTACCTTCAAGGTGGTGGTTAATAGAGTTCTAAGACTTATCCAGGAAGCCGAAATCAACACCAAATGGTGGATATACGTAGCGAGTGAAGCCCGTAGTCCTCTTGCAAGTCTCAATAACATCATCGATTTCCTGGAGATCTGATTCATCCAAGTCCACCAAGTTCAAATTTTCTTCGATTCGACTGGGCGTAACAGACTTAGCCAGCACGGAGCGGCCGTTGGACACTATACGCAACATGGAGTTAGCTTTTGTAGACAAGAAGACCTCAAGCATACGCACCATGCCAGCTGAGTAATACCGCGGCAGGCGAGGCACTCTTCTTCTCTGCTAGCCTTTGAATCGCCGGTAGCTGGAGAAGCGGGCCGCCTGAACTTCCAAGAGGGCTGTATGCAGTGACGTGTATGCCCTTGTTGCTGCAGAAATCGACGATTTCTTGCTGGGGTAACAAGGGATGGTTCTCGATCTGATTCACCGCAGGGACGATGGAAGCTTTGGGGAGGAGTTCTTCGAGATATCGGACGCTATAGTTTGCGACGCCGATGGCCTTCGTCTTGCCCGTTGCCACGAGTCTCTCCATGTCCTTATAGGTGTCGACGTGTGATCGTTCAGCGGTCACATCGCGCGAACCATCGGGGTGTTTCGGAAACCTTTCGTCGTTTCCTGAATATCGGGTCAGTTAATGAACGAAAGCTGGACTGTTACATCGGCGCTTACCGTTTGGATTCATAGCGACCGGCCAGTGCAAAAGGTAAAGATCGACATATTCAAGACCCAATGCCTTCAAGCTGAGGTCTAAGTTCTGTTCAACCCGAGTGTGGTAAGTGCACCACAGCTTCGTGGTCACAAAGATGTCCTCCCGTTTAACTTTGCCCGAAGCGAGGGCGGCCTTGAGGCCCTTACCAACCTCATCTTCGTTGTCGTAGCAGTATGCAGCATCGATATGGCGATATCCAACTTCAATGGCATGCTCAACGGCTCTTTGGACTTCCCCGGGCTTGGACTGCCAGGTACCTATGGAGCACACGTCAGCAATCTGGCCGTGGCGAGCAGCCCGTACAAGTGAAGTACCTAAACCTATCGCAGGAATCTGCGCTCCGGTGTTCAGTTTGAATTTCGGTATCGAAGTGGACATTGTAGCGATTTTGATTGGAGTTGATAGAAGATCAAGGGGATCTTGCAGACGACCCAGGGCAGTTGTCGAGAGGAATTCAATAGTGTTCTGCTTGGGTTCTATTGAGCGCAGATAGAGGGTTTTTATTTGCTATGGACCGACCATGAATGAGGGCCCAATGGCAGAACACTGCCGACTCACGTAGAAGACTACCATGCATGCGCTCCGCATTCAACGACAGGGGGACATGGGGCGGCATCTCCTGTGCCCACATCCGAAATTCCCCACACAGTGAATACCATATTGCCGCTCGGGTATATCGAGAACGAGTCAGCATCTCCCTTCCCCCAGTGAATACCATATTGCCGCTCGGGTATATCGAGAACGAGTCAGCAAGCATCTTCCTTACCCCTCCTCACTTGAATGTGGGGTGCAACATCGGTCGATGTGCGACTGGCCTACAAGGCGAGTTTCCGAGTCACCGAGATCGTCTGATCTTCAGCCCCTGCGGCTACGGTACTTCCTCAACCTGGTCAGGGGGTGGGAGATATAGACTATTTTGCTTAGTACGAAGAGCAGCCGCTGAACCCTTGATTTGCCCTTAACGTTTCTCAAATCCATTCACCCACCCAATAAACCGTGTAATCGAAACTGAAAATCGGTTACCCTCTTGGGCTCGTTTTCAGACAACACCACGGCTTGCATCCTCGTCGACAGCCTTCCTATATACCCTCCGCCATCATGGCCTTTCTCTGCAAGGGAATACGCGTGCCTCTGTCAACGCCTACCCAACGCTGGATCCACCCTGTTGTCGTACGACCATTAATACAACCTTTGACTCGTCGCTATATAAGGGTTGAACCAACAAAGGGGGACGGACGCCAGAAGAGAACAGCAATTGTAACGGGTTCGAGTCGTGGAATGTACGCTGACCCCTGGAACCAATCCTAGACTCATATGCTTGTGCTGACCAAAGATGCCCTTTTTCAGCGGTGAGGCTATCGTCCGTCGCCTAGCAGCCGAAGATTATGCTGTCACAGTCAATGATGTTGCCGCCAACAAGCCTGGTGTGGACAAATTGGTCGCTGAGCTAAACGACACGTTTGGCAAGGGTACGTCCACCGGAATCATTGCGGATGTGACCTCGTCTTCCGAGGTAAAATTCATGATCCAAGAGTCTGTCAAGCGCCTTGGCCCTTTGACGGTCATGGTCGCCAACGCCGGCATTGCTGGCGTTGGTGCTGCACTCGAGCTATCAAATGAAGACGTCGCACAGACGATGAGCGTTAACTTCACCGGCGTCTGGAACTGCTACACCCATGCTGCCCGGCAGATGATCGCCCAAGGACCTGTCCACGAAGGCAGCACTGGATACAAGATCCTGGGCGCTTCGTCGATTGCAGCATATAAGCCGTTCCCTCTTCTGGCTCACTACTGTGCATCCAAAGGTGCCGTGAGGAGCTTGACCCAGGTGTTCGCCATCGAGATGGCCCAGCACAAGATCAATGTGAACTGTTACGCGCCTGGGATTGTAGGAACGTCTATGTGGGAGGATATTGATAGGACGCTGGGCAAGATGCAGGGCCGCGCGGAGGGGGAGACGGTTCAGAAATATGTGAAAGAGTTGACGGCCATGGGGAGAGTGAGTGTGCCAGACGACGTCGCTAAGGTCGTAGGGGGATTCCTATGTGGACCTGACTCAGACTTTGTGACGGGTCAAAATATCATTGTCGATGGAGGGATCGTTTTTTCCTAATCCCAAATCTAGTTCATTGATAGAATAGATTTCCTAAGAAGATGGACAGAGTAGCAATTCGTGCATTAGTTTATTAGCAGTCTTATCTCCGCTAAGAAGCCCTTTCCACCTCTGGAATCGATTTCGGGATCCACGACTCCCGGGGTGACTCAATGTCAATTGACCATGGTACGTATGAACAACGGTCTAGATTGATGCTAAATTTAATACGCTGCCTTTATTAAGGATAGTATCACTGAATTGACCGAGGGGACTCAAGTGACAAGGACACCAGTGGAAGCGCCCAGTTGCCTGTTGGGGAGACATAAAGCCGGGTAACCGAACGCGGGTATAACCATTTCCTCGTACCGAAACAAGCCACCAATGCCTTAAATATTGGTCTCAAAGGAACAGGTCCCATGAATAGCACAGGTGCAATCAGGTTCCTTTTCGAATATCGAGAAACACGTCGAATCCACAATCACGCCATCCACAACAACGACAACCATGGAAGCCTCGAGTACTCGAACAGTACAAGCCTTGCGCTTCTACAAGAAAGGACAGATCCAACTGGAACAAGTCCCGGCACTGTGCGTGGCCAAAACCCATAATACAACACGCAGCATACTGACACTGACACAGGCCGTGTGGTCCTGACGAAGTCCGCCTCAAAGTCGCATACTGCGGTATCTGCGGAAGTGACATTCATGAATTCCTCGGCGGGCCAATCTTCCCACCAGCCCATGGCGAGACCCATCCCTTTACGGGGGTCAAGCTACCAGTCACCATGGGGCATGAATTTTCTGGAACTATCACTCAGGTCGGTTCCGGTGTGAACAACTTGAAGCTCGGCCAGAACGTGACTGTCAATCCCGGTCTGGACCACCGGCACTACCAGGCAGAGCTTTGCGGCATGTGTAAGGAAGGGAGGTACAACACCTGCGATGCCATGACGACGTATGGGCTTAACGCTCCTGGAGGCGGCTTCTGCGAGGAGATTGTAGTCAAGGCGATGAACTGCTTTGTTCTACCTACTGGCGTCAGCTTGAAAGCGGGTGCGTTGGCCGAACCGCTCGCTGTCGCGCAACACTGCGTCGATATCTCGGGCTTCCAATCGGGCCAGACGGCCCTCATCTGCGGCGCCGGTCCTATTGGCCTTGCGCTTGTTATCACCCTCCGCGCGATGGGCGCAGCAAAGATTATCGTTACGGAGGTCACCGAGTTACGGATGGCACAAGCTAAGAATTTTGGCGCAGACGTTGTGATAAACCCCCTACAGAGGGTCGATGACAATAAAGACCCTGTCTTGGCCGTCATATACAATGTCACGGTCGACGGGGTAGATGTGGCCTTCGATGCGACTGGATTGCAGTCTACGCTGGACTTGGCTATTGCTGGTGTCCGGACCGGGGGGACCATCTTCAACGTCGCTATTCACGAGAAGCCACTCCTTCTGAACCTTAACGACCTGGCCCAAAAGGAGAAGAAACTGATGGGCGGCATTTCTTATACCAATAAGGATTTTGAGGCTGTGCTCCGCACTATAGCTGAGGGCAAAATCGACGTGGAGCAGATGATTACATCTATTGTCCCTTTGTCAAACGTGGTGGATGGGGGATTTAACGAACTGATCAGTAATAAATCAGCCCACGTGAAGATTCTAATTCAGCCAGGTCAATGAGGAAAGTTCAGCAAACTATGGGTGAGGATCTAACTCTACTGGATCCGGTGATTTGGGTGTTTCTGGCAGCTTTAACCACCAAGTAGCCATATCAAAGGGACCAAGACTCTCTTCTTTGTTTGGCTCCTTAACTTCAGATAGACAAGTCCAATAGCAAAATATTGTTGAACAAACTCCTTGATCCAGTGCCTCACCGTCTCACCCCTTTTCTAGATGATTCCCTTCCCCATTCGACAGCACGCTGATGGAAAGTGCCTATTGCCATCGCAATCTTCATTGACTCCTACACTACTACAAACTTTTCACTGACCATCGCATTAAGAACGGGCCCATTTCACGTTTCAGCTGAACATAACCAGCCCAGTAATGAGTGATCTAAGTCAATATTACTTCTAGGCATTATTTCCCGAGCGCTCAATTGCCTCTTCTCACACAACTAGGTGGAAAATTAACCCCCGCTCAGAAGTATCACAACTATCCTTATAATAAAGTAACTTCACAGTCCTAACAAATTAACTATGGTCAGAACTGGAGGGACTTTTGTATACTGGTGTAAATAACGATGCTAGGTAATATGCTTTAGCTATAGAGGGAGAGGAAGATAATGCATAAGGTATAGATAGACAGTAACGTATCTGTAATTGAAGCCTCTGTTGCTTTTTCCGATTTGAGGGTTAGAAAAAGCAATTAGTTGTCAAGCCCGTTGTACAGTCCCCCATGCATATAGCCGCTTGCAGGCCCTCGGAACTGCGCCGGCTCTTGCGGGGGATCTTCTGGAGAAACGCTGGTAGCAGTGTAATCGCGCCGCGCCAAGGATTGAAAGAAGCCCGACTCTCATTTGCGTTCTCTCGGTGATTCGGATGAGTTCAGTCCTACTGTACAGACGAGTCACCCAGCCCACGGCACGACATACCCGGCATGGAACTCTGCAAGGCTCCGAGCTTAGGATACACACTATGGACTGATGAAGATCAAATTGGGAGAACAACGATTTCTTTTAGTGGCAGTGTATTGCAACTAACTCATAAATCATATGCGATGTTCTTGGTGCGGGCCCATTCCTCCATGCCTACGTTGAACCTCTCGAAGCCGCTAGAATTGGCACCTCCATACGGCAGGGCTGATTCATCATGAACAGTCATGCGGTTAATATGCACAGCTCCTATCTCTATCTTCTTAGCAAGCTTCAAGGCTCTTCGCAGATCTCGAGAGAAGGTGGCTGAGGTGAGGCTATGTTCAGTATTATTTACAATAGCGAGAGCATCCTCCTCAGTCTTAAACTTAATAATTGAGAATGCTGGGCCGAAAGACTTAGTTATGTAGATTTCTTTATTGGGCTTAATGTAGCTAATGATGATGGGCTATAACTATATGTTAGTTGACTTAGTAGCATCTACATTACCATACACTAGTACTGCGCTTCTGCCCAAACTCCCACGGAGCTTCGACGGTGACAGCATCGCCCTGGCCTGGAGCCTCGGGGAAAGGCTACAGAATGCCTTGGCTATATTTTGCGACGTCGGCGACACGAGGGTCTGGCGGATGCTAGACGCTTCGTTGCAGGCCATAGGAGACTTGAACCAAGGTCCTCTGTATTGGGATGATCTGCTGAAGGTATTTCAACTCGTCAAAGATTCTGATGACAGTGTGTGGCTTGGCCTCCATGTCGTGCCGCAAAATGCTGCTCTGATTCGTCCATCGTGATCATGTGTACGTCTACTGCACTTCTCCTCTGCTTGTCATTCACAAACATCTGACCTCTCCTGCAGTACTGGCGGCGTCATCTTGGAGGAATTGCAGACCGCGGCACCGGTTTCCGACGTTCTTAAGGCAGAACATGCCCTTACCTGGGACTTCCCGAGCCGGGCCGTCACGATCCCGCTCAGCGACTTCAGCAATGAGTCCTTCCTGGGGAACTTATCCCGGTTTCTCGAACAGGCCAGCTCCCAGGCCTTTGATCGGTTTGCCGCGCGAGCCTCCAAGGGGGGGCAGTCCGTCGTCGAGATCCGCGACTGCCCGAGCCCGGCCCTCATCAGCGAGATGCTTATGTCCTTGCTCGAGGGGCTGGGGAGCCTGGTGCATGTCCGTCGACTGCGCAAGCGAGTGCGTGACGACGTCGTCCTGGATGCCTCCGAGATCCCCTGGAGGCGCTCGCCGTACTGGCTCGTCCTTCGCGTCACCCTCGGGCGGATCCTGTCCGCGCTGTTGGACGATGCTCACGAGGCGATGGGTCGGGTGTATTACAGGTTCATCATATGTGCGGTACTGGCCAATCTTCTCAGGGACTGCGTGGGCAAGCTGCACCCGGAGATGACGCTGATGCTCCAGGCAAAGCTCTGTCGTCGCCTCGCCAAGCTGGAGTCGGAGAAGATGTCTGCCTCAGGGGCTCTGAACGCGGCGTATGACGCTTTCTTCGCCGCCAGTAGCGGCTCTTTTGGGACCATCGTAGTCAATGCCAGGCATCGCGTCGTCGGTTCGTGAGAGGAGTATAAAAGGGGCATCGTCCGCCGGATCCCCGTCCTCCCCCTTCGCGCTCCCAAGAAGGATCTGTTCCTGGATTTGCTCAACAGCCGCGCGGTTCTTCTGCGCTTGCTATCCCAAAACTTCAACTCTCCGGGCCGTGATGTGTCTGTTGACCTTTCGTCGCTGAGGGAGGGGACAGTCTTCCAGGTCAACCAGGTTGCAACCCAGTACAGTTCACTGGTCGACTACGAGGCGAAGATAATAGATGATACCGCTCTACTTTCTTTATCATCTTCAGAACGCAGATGCACGGAACTTGCCGAGATTATCGAGCTCTTTCTTGATAGGGTCAGAGATGCATACGTGAATAACTCGCTGCTGATGAGTCGATACCTCCTCCAGCTGTTTGAGGTGTGGATGCGCATGGATAAGGAAGCGACTGCAGCATGTTGCCTGCTCAAGGCGTTTCACCCGGTGTTTGTCCCGAGTTCGCTGGATGTGCTTTGTTTGCAGACCATGCAAGAGATGGAAAGACTCAGGCAAGTGCAGCAGTACATTGGCGCCCGGATCAGCTCCCACGATACAGACCATGAAACCATCTTCGGCGATCCTCGAAAGCCCAACTCCTTCCCCCTAAGGTTCGTTTACTCAACTGAGCCGGGAGAGCGAATGATTGTTCTCGCCGAGCAGATCGATGCTGCGTCGCAGAGGTCGAGAACACGCAAGCTATCTGAGCTCGCCGATCTGACGCGGCAGTACGATGAGCTCACTCGGGCGATGCAGAGCCGGACATGTACTTGCACCCGGTTGCCAGATGGACGTATGGATGTTCGTGGATGCACAAAGTGCTGGAAGAAGCGATGCCGGTACCGACTCAAGATCAACGCTCACCAAGATTTCCTCCCGCTGCCCAAGGCAGGCCCGCAGAAGGCCCAGCGAGCGGCGATTCTCTTTGGACTGTGCATGCCAAGGTATCTTGCGGCATACCGGGCAGCGGCCTGGAAGCTGTACATGTTGGGGAGCCAAATACCCTAGGTACTATTCGCCGGCGATTTAACTAAAATCGCCCATACAAACCGGTGCTCATAGTCTGGGCGTTATAAGCTATAAGCTATCAGTGGTGTAAGTGCGGCGTGGGTTGATGTGTGTCGTGAGAAACTTAGCAAAATTTTGAGAGCATTGGAAATCACATGTTTAATTACGCGAAAAGTCCACCACAGCTCTTCTCAAACTGAAAACTACATCATTCGATAAAGAAGGCTGCAAAGTATTTTAAACATAATGAAATACCTTCTTGCATTTACATGTTGGCATTTTATGCCCGATCAAAGACGCAAAACGAGGTGCAATTCTCAAATGGTGCTCCAAAAACATCGGCAATCCCTGGTCAGCGGCGTCAGACCCCTGGTTGCAGTTGGCCAATACGAGCCAGGCATGGCGTCTACAGTATCCTTGTCAGATTTCAAAGCCAATAAAAATTGGGGATGGAGTCTACACTATCCCTGCCAGCCCCACTCACTAGACCAGTCTGGTATTAGCGGCAGCCCATCGGATGTGAGCCAATCAGCATATGCCTTCACGTCGACAGTATCCATGTCACCGTCAGCCAATCCGATCAACTCTTGACGTCGACAGTATCCTTGTCATGCCAGGAGAGAGTGCCGTCAAAATGCACTTACCCTGTACCACAGGAGAGGCAAACCGGTCGCGGTTTGCGCAAAACAGCCTTGAGGAACGAAGAATGGAGAGGGTGGTTTTCATGGTGCTTTTACAGCATATTCACAAAGGTTGCGTCGGGGCGTCTTTGGTGGCTTACATGTTGGTACCCTGGTGGCGCATTTTTGAAACTTTATGACGTGCAAACGTCATAATACTATAAAAAGCTTCTGGGAGAGACGCGAACGATAAACTTAGAACTGTAAATAGCCTAGCGCACCTGGCCCTATCAGGTTAGTCCTCGCGGGCGGAATAAATTTTAATCATTTAACTTATTCATACTATAAATAGCAAAGATGGGATGAAAGAGCGGAGAAAATGAGGGGATGGTTAGACAAGCATGATAAAAATATTCCCAAAATTTTATCGTAAAACAACCAGGAATATTCCTTGAAAAGAAGACGCATTGCATTCTCAGAATCTTTATTGAACTATGGCCAGCTGCTCGGTTCGGTTTGAGTTCTACTGTGGCGAGGCTCAAGAGCTCAAGTACACCCACGACCTTCCTCGCAGTCTTGTCAGCGAGGCTCATGGTGCAGGGCAAAATGCCCGGTATAACGATCTGTTTGTGGCTGCAGTACTGCCTTTCATGAAGGAGCACGAGGCGGCGTGTCGTGCTGCTTCAAATCCATTTTGTGAAAACTGTGGGTTATTTGCCATGAACATCTTGCAAAGCCCTATGTCTTGGCTTCACAGGGCGGAGGATCCATTCGTTGGCATTTGGGTCAGTCCCGTGTGTGGGAAAGGGGAGTGTGAGACGCGGATACGGCAGGAAATCCAGGACACAATGTGTGAAATTGCTCAAGAGGGTCCGCACCGAAGGTTGAGTACTTGTATGGAAATTTTGCCATGCAAAGTATGTGGGAAGACGGAAGGGATCAAAAGATCAGCTCTACAAATTGTGGCCGGGTTTAGTTGTGTCGCGCGGGACTTGGTGAAATCGCGCGCTCGATGCAAATGGACATTTAAATCCACCAAAATTCCACCACAAGCAATGACGCAGAAAAATATATACCAATCGATAGAGAACGCTCTATACAATAAGCTTCTGCAACTTACTCTCTTTTTAATGTTTTTCTCGGTGAGTTATGCCATGCTAAAGACGAAAATCGAGGTTGGAACGGATGATGCTTATGTCATGCGGCTCTCAGCCTATCAGCTGCCGTCAGATTTCTGGCGATGACGGACCAATGAAAGCCAGTCTTGGCGGCTACAGTATCCCTGTCAGTTTTGGTGCACACCAATCAGCATGAGTCTTGACGGCTACAGTATCCCTGCATGTGGGGCGATCCCCGCGTTCGTACTAGCGGCTCCCAAAAATCCAGGAGCGCGTGGAGCTTGAAAGTGGCTTGAAGGTGACCGTATCCTTGTCGATTTTGGCTGGTCTCGTTGCGTGTATGTTACCAATTTAGTCCACACCAGAACTAAATAGAGTCTTCATAGCCCGGGAACAACATTACAGCTTTTGTATTGACAGAACTATATTTTAATGCGCAATTCAGCCAAGCTACTGGTTCCAATTTTGTGGTCCTAGCTAGATATCCCAATCTGCTAGTTTGCAAGATATAATTCAACAGCCTACCCTATACCCACTTTATGCGATTCAACTGCGGACAATATATGCCAAGCGTCCCTCTAGCTTTATGCTGTCCAGGCCGTGTCGAGTAATATCCTTGGTATATTATTGTGGTATTTTAATACATTATGTGCATTGAATCCCCGGCTGTACTTTATTCTGGCGAGCGCCTTTCTAACTACTGCCCATTGATTGGCCAAGTTCCCTTCCCTTTATTTTCAAGCTTTGTCGTGCCGTGCTTGCAATTTCGCCCGTCCAACCAAGAATAAACTTTGTAACCCCTACTCATTTCCCTGTCATTTCACCTCTTCATCACCTATAGTCTGTCCCACTAGCCAATCAACAGTCTAGCTTTGCGCCACTGGTTTCGAACCGAAGTCTTTCAGCAATCAACTCTCAGATTCAAGCTGGGATTATAGCAGCCTTAGTGAATGTCCTTTGTAGTTGCTGACGGTGATACTTACGGCTAGTGTAAACAAACACAAAGTAAGTAAACAAACATTTGGTGCCATTCATGTGCAGTCTTGTGCCACTCCTGCATCTTTTGGTGGTTCTGCTATCTTCATGCTGCCACTTGTTGAGCAGCACCAATGGCTCCTCTACCTGTTTCTGCTGACGAGAGAAGAAGACACAAGACTGCACTGGCCAAGGCTCGTCGCCAAAAGGCTTTATTGACAAGTCGGCAGCAACACCACCAAGAATGTCAACGTAACCCATTCATCAGACTGATTCACAGTTCTGATCAATCTTCGCAAGCTCCTTTACTTCCCCAGCCTACCCTCAGTTTCTCACCCACTCCCACCCCAGCTACGGAACAACGTCCTGCGCAAGCTGGAAGTCAGTCATCGACAGGAATACGACAGACACAGGAGCGCCGTCGAAGCCCGAGACTCGCCGAGCCTATCCCTCGCCGGACTGAAGACGTGGATGTGATTGTGGTGGCAGATACCCCTTCGCCAGACCCGTCGCTTGCCGATAGCCTACTCCCCTCTCGGCCTCACGAGCCCACGGAACCCCGACAGTACCGTGACCGCCCGAGCCAAACAAGAACGCCGTCGACAACCGACGGAAGCAGACCATTCCGGGAGTCTTCTATCCCTGGGTTTTCGGATCTGACGTTGCGCGATGGTTCAGTCCTTGCCTCTCCTCCCCTCGAGGAGTTACATTACGAGGCATCGGCTGGATGGGGTTCTGCATCAGGACCAGCGCATGGATCCGAGTGCTCGTCCGATAGAGGATCCGAGTATGCGCCTCCATCTCTGGAATCGTCTCCTGCCACTCCCACGTCTTGCGTCCTCGAAGACTCCCTGCTCGCTCGCGAAGCAACCTTCCATCCAATCACTCCGATAGCGTCACCCAGCCCCTCTCAGCAACCTGCCTCGCCTTCCGAGCTCAGCATCTCTCATCTATCCTTGTCGAGCTCATCCAGCTGCACAGGTTCCCCAGGCCCATCGCCGTCATTATGCGGAACGTCTGCGTCCGCTTCAACGCCATCACCCAGTGCCAAACCGGCTCGTATTCTCTTCCTAGAAGCCACCCGCAATCAGGAAACCAGAGGTGGAGCCGACTACCTCGAGATGCAGAGCGACGTATATGATGAGATTTTTGAGATCATCTTCGGCGTTGAATGCAATGGTAAGCCCCGCATCCGGCCTCCCATTGATGGAAGACTCACCGACGTCCCTTTAGACACGCACCCTCACGAACATGACGAGTCAGAGCACACGCACACCCTACAAGAGAGAGTTGTCCATCTTCAACGCCATCTCCCTCCCCTCTCTGATGTCTTTGGAAAGCGTGGGTCTTACGACCCTCACTCCTACTTCCTCCAGTGGCAGAATTTCCTCTCGCGCCAGCCACTCCAGCCGCTCTCCTTCGCAAAGACACAGGCTACACTCTCCCAGGAGTCAGTCACTATCACGCGACAGTGGGATATCGACAGTATCTGGTTCGGGGCCAACGATCTCGGCGCGATTCAACCACCCAATGACTTCCGGCTCTCCTTCCTGCCCCCATTCACCCTAAACCTGTCTACAGACCAGGTGATCCAGCCCCATGGACTCGATCTGGCGAAGACGCGCCACATTCCATTTGGATCATTCAACACCCCGAGCGTCCGTTTTAACGTCTTTCTCTTCTTCCCCGAGTCTGCCCGGACGCCTCGCTCGAGAACGTCTGCGTCCTCGAATGCCCTCTCCCTAGACCGGCAGAAGGACCTCTACGACAATATCATCCTCCCTGCTGCGTATGAAACCATCCCCGACCCTTTTCGTCAAGAGATTCCCCGGACATTTGACGCCGTTTATACAAAGTCTCGTTCATACCAGGAGAGGCCAGCTATGGGACGGTGGAAGGTGGGTGACGAGAATCGATCGTTCAGTCTGGCATATACTCTTCCTGCACGAGCTCTCTCACGTTTCTGGCGCTCCGTCGTGGACAAGGCAAACCAGTTCCACATCACAACCCAACGCGGGGAGGCTGTCGCATACTTCCGAGATCCACGATTGCTCTTCCAGGCACACGACGTGAAAAACACCTTCGCCCGGCCAAGTCTACAAGAGACAATCGATCATTTCGAAAAGACGGTCCTCGTTGCTCTCAACCCAAAACACCTAGATATCCACTCGTGTTGGCTCGATATCGGAACCCGGGATTATGTTGTTTCCCCCCGAGAAGGCGAACCTTGCACAATCCTCTGGAAGAGCCAGTGTAACCGCCACCTCCAGCAACAACTCCAGGAAATCACTTCCGAGGAGACCTTAGAGGCGGCATACTTTCGATCCTTCCTCCTCCGTGATATCGGGAATATAACTCTGAAGGCGAAGCCCGCACGACGTCCAAATCTGGGCCATCCAGATTCTCGGCAGCCCGGGATCCCTCGCTTCAAGGCATACAGCTGCAACAAAGAACTCTTCTCCGTCATGTTTAGCAGTTATAGGCTCTTTCACTCGGAGTCCTTTCCACTCCTTGCGCTGAGCGATGGGATGATCCAAGACCTCGCCTCGATGAGCAAGGATCGTCAGCGGGCATACGTGACTCAACTCAATCGAGCATCCCTCCTTCACGCGTGGGAAGCGAACAAGCGACACGTGAGAGCAGTCTCGGACCCGAAAGTTCTGACGAACTATGGGATTCGGAAGGAGGGCACATTCCGCCTCGATGTCATCCTGACGATGTTGCACCGCGGCATCTTTGACCCCGAACGGAGCCTAGCGATGATGACTCGCGCCTTTTTGCTTCAAAAAGGGGACCCCTGCACGGCTCGGGAGGTACCTGCGGGCGCGAAACAGGCGGGGGAAATGACCTGAGCAGGGGCTCGGGCGATCTGTATGGTAGCATGAAAAAGGATTTGTATAAAAAAGTCAATAGTGATTGGCCAGCGAGTAGAACAAGTGGAGCACAAGACCGCATCCATTTCTTCAATATAAGAGAAAAAGAAAAAAAGCGGCAGGAATAACCCCTGGTTAGTAGGCTGTAGTTCTATTGAATGATGGTAAAAGAAGAATGGACCGACGAACGAACTTGAACCAATTCAGGTAAGTAATTAATGATACAACTGCCTACAGCTTGGAATAGGGGTAATAATTCAGCCGAAGGCTGACTCTACATTAATCCATAAGTTTTTTCCCAATAATGAGGGTTTGGTGCAGACAGGGATTAATAAGTTTCCCAGACTCTGATTGGTCTAAATTTTGTATGGCTGGTCGCAAAACGTACCGCAACTGGATGACGGCCTTCGAAAGGTGGGTCGCTATTAACAGCTGCCAGGACCCCTGGTTTGTTTACTAGGGGGCCAGCTTTAGGATTTCGGGATTCAAATACCCATTTCATCCCGCACAACGCCTCTTGATGTCTTGCTCCATTAAGTAATGCGTCTTAAAGTCTACTCCTCAAGAGCTTCAAGATGATATGATTTCCATCGTCTGCGTCCGCTGTGGCGAGGAGAAACCGGCAGGTGACTTTATTGGCAAAAGGAAATCGGTGGGGCACACCAAGAACTGCCAGGACTGTCGCAATCAGCGCAGTTCTCATGTCAGTCTGTCTCCCACTCCGTAAGACGTTCAATACTAACTAATTAAAGTACTCCAGGTCCAGAGGCGCGATCCTGACATTAAGAAACCTCGCCGTCGCTCCTTCTTCAACTGAGAGTCCCGCTCCGAAGAGAACTGAAGAAGATGCTGGCCTATTGCCTCCTAACGACAGATTCGGAACCCAACCTACGTCGCCAGAGAGGCTGCGGCAATGTCATACAGCGAAGACGTTATCCGGGGCGTCGATTAGCCAGCCGCGAATAGTGTTGGGGACGCCAATTCCACCAACCCAACAAAGCTCGCGGCTCTTCCGTACAATAGCTCCCTCACCTCCTGCGCAGCCGACGACACTACTAACCGCCTCACATTCCGATCCGTCTACTATCCGAAGCAGCACGTCTGATATAGGTCACCCTGACTTGGCTCCTAGATTCCTCAAGTGTGGGAGAGACTCACAGGACGATTCCTCCATGGCTGGCGCAAGGGCCAAGCGGGCTGCTATCCAGCGCGGCCATCGTTCACGACGCCGTGCAGGCGAGACTGTGTCACTGACTCCCTCAATATCTCAACTCGGCGCGTTTAAAGGTTCGGAGGGGCCTGGGGCAGATATTCTTACTTAATGGTCGCAGTACTTCGGGCTAACGACAGAATGTAGATGCGAGCCAAGATCGACCGCGGCCGAGTGGGCTTCCAGATGGGGATGGGATAATCAAGGAAGGAGATGACTGGGGCCAGTTCTCGGAGTCCGATATTGACGCCGAGGACTATTTCAACCTGCTGCTTTCGCCCGTCCGGCCACGCAGGTACCTGGAGCAAATAGGGGTAGAGTGTGACTCCGACCCAGGGGACGGGGACGAGAGCGACGGTAACGACTCCGTGGATGAGGGCCCTGTTCGTCATCGCTCGCGGCTGCCTTCTGCACGGCCGAGGACTGGTCGCCGTGGTCCGGCTCCTGGCACAGGAGGGCGACCGAGACGATCTCAAAGGCAAACTCGATCGTTGAGGCCGCCACGACGTATTCGGAGTCCGGTGAGGATTCCACCTGAAGAGTCGGCGGTATTCCACGCACAAGATCCGGTGTGGAATGGAGATCTGGAAGCTTGCGCCTTGACTGGTCGCGACAAGGCCATCCTCCGCGAGTTCTGGACAGAGCTGGACAATGACCAAATGCAGTTTTGCAGTCGATGCCAAAAGAGTTGGTTCCAGATGAAGATCGATTGCGATGGCATTTGTGCGCGTTGTTATCGAAAGGATGAAAAACGCCGCCCCGACGAGCCGTATTTCTTCTCTGCGGATAATCAGCTCGACTTCGGCCCTGTACCGGCCCGGTTGCCCCAGCTTACGCCTACCGAAGAGTCTTTGATTGCTCGTGTTCACGTCCACGTGAACATTATGCTTGTGCGAGGGCAGCAATACAAATATCGGGGGCACGTAGTTCACTTTCTCCGCGAGGTTGGCTTAGTGTACAACCAGCTCCCGCTTTTGCCGCAGGAGTTGAACACTGTATTACTACGTCCTGCGAATACGTCGTCCCACGCACATCTTAGCCGGCAATTCACCCGCCAGTTCCGCGTGCGCCGCCAGCCGGTTGTCATATGGCTAGACTACCTCCGCCGCCATCATCCTGGCTATCGATGCATCGTCATCGACGAAGAGAGGCTAAATCAATTGCCCCAAGATGGCAATGTCCTGGATGCCATCCCCCAGAGTCAGGTGGAGGCTGCGGATGTTGGACCCGAGGAAGATCAGGAGGCGGAGCCTGACCTGGAGGACGAGGCTGCGGTGCCAGACCTGTTGGCCAAGGACACGGAGCTTGATGCTCTGCGGTCTATTCTCGCCGGAGAGTCAGAAGCTGATTCAGAGCTTTCCACAAGCTTCCAGGCGCAGGCGCAACACGAGCTGCAGCTCCCGAATATACGACACACACCCATTAATGACTTCAATCGCTCTCATGCCCTACTCTCCTTGGCGTTTCCCTGCCTCTTTCCTGACGGTAGAGCCGACTTTGTTGAACCTCGATTGCGCTCCATTGATTACAAGGATTACGTCGAGCACGCGATGCGCTGGCACGACGGGCGTTTTGCACGCCACCCGACCTTCCGCTTCGTCGCCTTCAACACGCTAATGCGGTCACAAGCACGTTCACGGTCCAGATTCTTCGTGAAGCAACATGATGGGAGACAGCAGCCGCTGACGCGAGAGCAACTTATTCAGGCGCTGGAACACAGCGAGGACCCCGAGGCGCAGGCGCTGGAACACAGCGAGGACCCCGAGGCGCAGGCGCTGATCAACTCGATCACAAGGCATGCGGTGTCTATTCGCGGTACGCGTCCCTTCTGGAACAAAAGGAGGCAGGACCTCGAGGCCTATGCCTATAACCTTGGTTGTCCTGGTGCATTCATCACGTTTAGCCCGGCAGATTTACACTGGCGGAGTCTCTACCAGCACATGCCCCAGTATGACGACTGGCTAGCCGCCACCGAGCCGGAGAGGATGGCTCTATCGCGCCGCCTATTGCGGCAGAACCCCCACATTGCTGCTTTCCACTTCTACCGCCGATACTGCCTCTTTCGGGATATCGTGCTAAGCAAGAAGTTCGGCATCACGGATTACTGGGATCGGTACGAATGGCAAGGGCGTGGTAGTCCACACAACCACGGCCTATACTGGATGGAAATTGCCCCGGAGCCGACATGGAGGACGAAGCCGCTCGTGATGTATTTGCACGCACGTGGGGATTCCACGTCACTGCCATTAACCCCGAGC